CAAGGTGACTTCATCGCACGCATAACTCATGATTCCTGTCGTTTTTTCTCAACAATCCGTAAGAGAAAACTGCGATCCAAAACGCACTTCCTTCTTCTCTTTCATATCTTTCATCATGTCTTTACCAATCCATCCGTCGATATTTTCTTCAGAGCCATGCGCCGAAACCTTAAGAACCTGAGGTTCGTAGTACTTGAGATTGTTGTACCTGATTATTATATACAGAAGATTCGATTAGTTTTTCTTTCTTCTTTCTTCCTTCCGATAAATATGAATAAAAAGGAATATAATAAATTGCTTACTTTTGTGGGGATGAGGCAGCAAGAGTAACATTCTTGTAAAGAAAGGATGCTTGAAGTTCTCCTTGAAGACATATATAAAAACCAGGAATATTGTAAGGGATACGTATCGACAAATCCCACTCTGCACTAAGACGAGTTTCTGTGATGTTAAACGCCGTGAAATCCATATTAGCTAATTCTATCTTCGGCACCGGATCGTCGCGAGATGAGTCTTTGATCGCTAGAATGATACCATAAACTCCACAACCAAGAAGACCCGCTCCGATACAAACGATACAAAGAAGAATGAAGCAAAGGCCGACACGCTTCAATATTGTAGTTAGCCGGTTGTCATTGTTGTTGCCCATTCTATACATTGGTTGAAAAGAGAAGAGAAGATTTTGTGGAGCTCTAACAAGAAGATTGATGAGAGAGTTCGATAATGTTATAGATCGTAACTAGTTCTGTCAGAGAAATAGTTCGATGAAGAAGATAATTTCTCTGTATTGATTTTAGTTAGGGCACAAGCAATCATCATCATTTATAGAAGCTTATGATGATTCTAGAATTTCAACTAGATACAAGAGAAAAGGATATTCAAGGTAGATAAGGAAATTCAACAAATTGATATTTAATCATTTCCTTATACCAGGAAAAAAAAAAAGGAATATCGTTTTATTTACATTTTCTAATAAAAAATTATCTATGATTTATATTTTTTGTTTATTGTAATATAACGACGTTACTGAGATTGGCCAAAGAATTACAAACGATGTTAGCTAGTAATAAGTTCCCTCAACTCTTTAGTCTTTACCATCCAGAGGACGTCGACTTCACATCTGGTAGAGGTTATTGGGATTTCTTGAGGACAGTCGAATTCTTTAGGAATTACTCAACAAACTCAAGAGATGATAGCAAACACTCTGGCACAGATGAAAAACTGATTTGATTCATCTCCTCCTAAGGTAGCTCACGGGTCACGAAGACCTTCCTGTTCTTGAGGACAAAAAAAGAGAGGAGAGAAAACACAATGAAATGTTATGCCAGAAACTTCATTGAGATGAGAAAAATATATCTTTATATTTGGCTTTATAGCAACTTCCTCACCAAGATGAGGGATTTTAGATTTGGGCAGGTTTCAAGAAATGTTCAAAACCATCTCATATGGGTGTCCAGAGAGGAACGCACAAGCGAGACATGAAACAAAATTGAGGCAGCGGTTCTAGTTCTGAGTATCCACAGATATTTTATATACAGAGCCAAAAAGTAGAATGTGGCACGATGAGATAAGTTTCTCCAAAGTGGCTTCACTGCGGTATAATATCTCATCCAAATGCATATATTCTTCAGACAAGGTAAGACAACAGACACCGCATCATCCAAGATCACATCAGAGAGACTTAAGAGCGTACCAGTGTCTCACAGCTAAACAACAACCCTAGGAGATTAAACTCTCCGGTGCAATGAAAATATTGGATCTTACGTTTAACTGCAGCATCAATCCATTACGTGAAATAAGATTCATGATCCACGTTCCATGGAATACTACTAAGAGATAACTTGAGTTCGTGTATGCAGGAAACCCTATCAGAATCCAAATGTCACCAAAACTCATAAGGGTATTTGAAATGTTAGAAACCTCGGGTATTCAAATCCAAGATATATGTTCCCAACTTCCCATGGCCTTGCTAAGTTCAGTTCAACACATTCATGTAATAACTTTAGTTCGCAAATATGTAACTATATATTTTAGGGTTTAGTGGAGAATATTTTGTATTTGATGGATTGGTGTTAATGAATGATATTAACGTTTATTCCATTCCATCTTTATATTATAGTGTCCCTCTTCAATCTTCATTCCTTTTTGTTCTCCATTCCAGAATTGTTGCTCAAGTGGGTCTCCTTGAGCCTAAATGTCAGGATTACAACTATAAAATTTAGAGGCTGATGGAGTCAAACTTTTTTTTTTGGTCAAAAAAAAGGAGAGTAATGAGTCAACCTTTTTTATTTGATGGATTGGGGCTAAGGCTATAACGTGTCCAGTTTTGATTTAACCATGAGCTTTGTCATAAACATTTTCTAAGATATTCAAAAATTCATCTTATTCAATATATGAAATTTCCTAAGTATGAAACTTGAAAGGGTTCCCGATTAAAGATTCATTCCCATTCCAGTTTTTAATAACGAATTATGAATTAACCTCAACGTGACTGGTACTTTTTCAAGTTTCAAGTAGTAACCCAATTATGAACCCGCTGTGAATCCTTTGATGCTCAATAATCAATATAATTATATTCGGACGAAAAAAAGAGAAATCAAAAAGAGCTGGCAAACGAAGAACATTATATTATTGGTACACCTATAAATTTTCAGATAAAAATAAAAGAAAACAACAACTACTGTATGATGATGGAACTGATGTATTGCGCAGAATTGTATAAGAAATTTGAAAATAACGATGAAAACAAAATAAAAAGAGTCACCAGTTTTGCAAGTTCAACAACAAACTAGTGATTACAACATGGTTTTATTGAATACATAACTCATCATCCCAGCTTATTCAAGAAGCACTTTCCCCTTCTCTAGAGTACATTGAGGGCGAAACTGATCAAATTCCTCACGCAAGTCGTGATGGTCTCGGAGTATGACACACACCTGCAAAACAATAATGTAATCAAACTTAATATGAGAAGAATGAAAAAGAAAGAGTTTAAATATGATACATAAATTATTTATACACATATACGGTATACATATATACCTCTTCATAGTTTTTCTCGTTAAGTGTATACATCTTCAATGTTGCCAGAAATGATTTGTATCGATCATCATCCTGAAATCTTGCCTACAAATAAACGATTTATAAGAGAATACAATAGGTGTTGTTTGTTTGTGGTTTTTTACAACTTTATTGAACAAAAATAAATAAATCGTAAACTGAATTGTCTATCCATATTTTCTACCATGGGTGAATGCGTTTACCTTAACCTTGGTCATAAAATTAATAGCTTTTGAATATTTCAAGAATTCGTCCAACCCCACAATCAGCTCTTCATGGCTTTCAAAGAGTATTATCACTTGTGATCTGACAGAAATATGATCAATCCTACAATGAAAATACCATAGAATATCTCAGCACCTCATAACTCATAAGAGTGATTAGCATGTGGGCACTAATTGAACAAATCTAAGAGGGAAATTAATCGTTAAGATCGAAAATATACCTTTTAGCCTTAAAGTCTTTCATGATGTTAAGAAATTCATCATATATCTCACAATTATTTTCAAATGTAGTTCTCACTGTCGTGAGATAGTCACGTGCACCCCTTGTTGACATGGCTTCAAACTGCCTAAAAATTCATTAATTTATTCATAAAAAAAAGAGAAAAATATATCAGTGAAAATAAGAACCACAACAAACAAATTCAAAACCATATATATTCCTTTTTGATAAATAAAAACCTATATATTCATAAATCAAACTCGAAATCATTCCAAAATACGAAGAAAACCAAACAAGTATCAGATCTAGTAACCAGAGAACAATCATAGGAAATTGCAATGAAATTTAAGGTTACCAACCAAACAATTCAAACCTAGCTTAATCTAAATATTATTTCACAATATAAGAATACAACGCTGAAAATAAAATTCAAGAGAAAAACAATAGGATATAACTGAAGAAAATTACTGTTATCAAGTTTTACTAATACCTAAGTCATCTAGAGGGAAAAGTTTCTCCTTACCTCCCAAGATTCAGGTAGATAAAACTTGAACAATTTCCTCAAAGATAGATGAGAGAAAGTATTGCTTTTACATTATTTAGAGAAGCCTATAAATAGATGTAAAATACAATTTGTTTTGGTAACATTTTCATTGTTTCTCCCTTTTTGGCATTATTCTCTTCTTGTTTGACTACTCTGTGACATTTTTTCTTTACAATAAAACCTTCTATAATCTTAACAAAGTACAAATAGGCTAGTTTTATGGGCCAACCAATTTGATATTACAAACTTAGCATGTTATAATTTTTATTTCTAAAAAAAATATTTTAATTTAACCTATTGTAAAAAATTGAACTATAATATATCTTAAACTTTTATATGTATGTGATTAAATATTAAATATTTAAAAACTGAAATTTTGCAGCAAACATTTTTATCTATAAAAAAGGTTTAAACCAATCGAATTTTTATCATCTTTATTTAATGCTTCTAAACCTTATATCTTTATGTATTAATAAATGTATGGCCCTGATATATTTAAATACTTAAATTTACAATTATAGTTTTAATTTTAATCGGGTACAAAATCTTGACCAACCCGGTCAATTTTGTCAGGGAGTGTCTTAATACTCCCGAAAATCCCATCTATAATAAATGGGAAAAAAAAGACTAATACAAATGTTAATTAGTTACGAGAATAGGATAATCTATTAATTTCACATTAAATTGAATTTGATTATGTTGACCAGAAAATAATTAATTTGAATATTAAAAGCAGTTAAAAGGAAGAAAAATATAAAAAGGAAAGTTAATACTATTGAATAAGAAAAACTTGTTTATTTCTGACCTGATTTTTATGATAATGGATATACAATAATTCAACACCTTATCACTTATTCTATATAAATAATATTATCAGCATATTTACTGGCACATTTTTATTCAACGTTTACAAAAGTGAACTTGAGGAAACTCTTAATCAAAATGAAAAAGTTGTGATAACTCCTTTGACTCCAAGGCAAACATTTAATTTGTACGAAAAAATGGACTGGTTTCATAGATTTGCAACTTGGTTTTACTAGCTTCTATTGTTGGAATATACTGTGTTTTGTGGTCCTCGATTGTCTTGAAGCTAACTCAACCAGGACAATCTTGTCAACGGCACTTACAAATAATAACAATACATAACGAAAAGAAAAGTATTCTCCCAAAAAAACGAATGAAATGAGAAGGAGCAAGCATCGAACACGAAAATTCTTCATTGTTCACCTAATCTCAGGGAGAAAATGAGAGAAATCAACAAGCAAATCGTGATGGTCCCGGAAAAGGATAGCCACCTACAATATAAACATATATCAAACCAAGACAAAAAGGGCAACCAGAACAATGAAAAACATTATACCGAAAGTGGCTAGAAACATACCTCCTCGCAGACTTCAGCAATGGACTTTTTCTGTTGTTTATACGTGTCCAGCATGTGTACAAATGATCTGTATACACGATCATCGTCCACAAATCTTGTCTGCCAAAAAACAAAAAAAAACTTAAGTAGGCTAGCCAAGTGAAAAAGGAGAAATATGAATCATACTTGGATTAGTTGCATCAAAATCTCTACCCTGATCTTTTTGGGAAAATCTATACATTCCTCTAACCCATTCTTTCTTGGTGGAGTTTGGTACTCATCCTCGGTAATGGTTATCTCAAATCCCTTTGGCAAGAACGTATTGAAACCCACAATCAGCTCTTGTTGCCCCTTGAAGAGTTCTTTCACTCTTGATATGACACCACAATGATCAACTCTACAATTCAATCAAATTCAGTTTTTTCCAGGAAAATCATAGTTTAAGAGGTGAAACTAATGAAAGAGCAAAAACTAATGATAATTAACAGTAACAGTAAGAAATAAAAAGAACAAAATACTTCCGAGGGCTGAAGTCCCTTATGAGCTCCATAAACTCGTCATATATCTTAGGCGTATCTTGGAGTCTACCCTTCACAGTCTGGAGGTATTCAAGTGCATCACTTGTGTCTTCATTTTTTGCAACCATGTTTTTAAATTGCTTAGAGCCTAAATTACCCAAAGAACAATTTTAGCACCAAAATCAATGCCAAGTTGCGATCTTTATTTTCAAAGAATTATACTTAAATCATTCCAACTAGAACAAAAAAGAAAACAGATCTATCATGTAAAGAACAAACATCATGTATAGTAAAATCGAAAGGGAGTTCGAGGAGATCAACCATAAAACTCGAATTTAATTTCATCTTTACATTATTTCAAACGACAGTTCGATATAAGATTCAATCAAACACTCGAAATGAAAATTATAAAAGAAACAAGATAGGAAATTAAAAGATCATCGTACAGTTTTCGTAGAAGTGTGTAGATCGAGGGACAAGTTTCCTCCTTGCTGGACACGAACAACCCTAAGATACAAAACTTATAATTTCCACAAATCAAGATACTATAAGGGCATAGGGCGGTCGTTTTATGGGATGTAGAGTTGGAAAGAAAAAAAAACTTTTAAAAGAGAAATTTCCTTAAATTTAAGAAGTATGTAATCTTTTAAAATTTGAAACTCAAATAAAATGTTTACATATTTTGTATTCAGGGTTTTACATTTTTTTAGGGATTAGGGTTTAAAGTTTATTTATAGGGTTTAGAATATAATACTCCTGAACTACTGCGCGTAATAACTTGAAAAAACCCCTGTGATAACTCTAATCTAACATAGCATTTTTTTCAATAGTCCCCTGCTTAGATAACTATAAATAAATGTTCATGCTCTAAAGATGCAATCACTGGATGTGAATATAACCTACGATATACTGTATATTACTCCTATATTTTTCTTTCCAACATGAATAGAAAGTGAAAGATTTTCTTTGTGGTCTAATAAATAAAGTTTTAGCCATGTTGATATAGGAATTGTTCTTAGTTTTCAAAATTAAAAGTTTCCACTTTGTAAAATATAATTTATTGAAACTTTACTGATCTTATGGCATGAAAAATCTTCAAAGTGTTATTATTGTGAGTCAAGATGGAAAAGCAGATACACAATGCTTCATGGTCTTCACTGCATTACATAGCAATACACAATCCTTCCTTTCTCTATAATATTATTTTCTTATAAAATGAGGGAGAAAGTGATCGAATTCCACACGCAAATCTTGATGGTCTTGGAAAAGGATAGTCACCTGCAAGAAAAAAACATATCATCAAAACCCAAAACAAGAGAAATGCAAAAAAAGTAAATGTGTATACAATAAGTAGCAAAGTAAACATACCTCATTGTAGACCTCAGAAGTGCTCTTGTAATCATTTTTATACTTTCTTAAAACGTCTAAAAAGGTGTCGTATGCATGCCTATCATACTGAAACCTTGTCTACAGATACATAATTTACTTATAAATGATATATAAGATAAAGGTAGCAAAAGCAGAAAAGAGGAGTATAATTTCTAGTAGAGTTGGACGAAAAATATAAAAACAAATCTAAATAAAAAAATTCCAACCGAACTAAATCGAAATGTTTACACAAGATAATTCAAAAATCTCAAGGAATCAAAACTGCAAATCCTATTTCTATGCCAGCTTTAGTGCGCCTACCTTAACTTTGTTGATAAAACTAATTGCCTCATCACGGGCAACATCATTTGCTAGGGTTTGGTCATCGTCAAGGGTTATCTTGTAACCCTTTGGCAAAAATGTATTGAAACCCAAAAGCATCTCGTCTTCTCCTCTGAATAGTTCTTTCACTCTTACCATAACATCACCAGTATCAACTCTACAATACACAATAAAACTCAGTTTCCGAGAGATCATAACTAATGAAAAGAGAAAAACCAATGATTAACATAAAAAAAACAACAAAATACCTTTGAGCTTTGAAGTCTTTCATGATCTCAAGGAACTTATCATAGATATCACGGTTATGCTGAAATGTATTCTTCACGGCCGAAAGGTATGCAAGTGCATCACTTGTAGTTAGCTTCCTTTCAACCATGGTTTGATGTTGGTAAGATCTTCATTATCCAGAGAAAGAGAAATTAATAGATCAATGCAAGAGTCCTAACGTTAATAACATTCAAAAATCAATCGCAAGTCTCAATTAAACAAATTAAAAATCTATGTAATCACATCACCAAACTCGAAAACCATCTTAGATAACAAACACAAAAAGAAATCTGTAAAAAGCTCCACTATATGGACAAAGAGAAAATAGATCAATGCAAAACTCCTAACGTTAATAACATGGAAAATCAATCGCAAGTCTCAATAAACAAATTCAAAATCTATATAATCAGATCTTCCAAGTCGAGAACCATTATAGATACGAACAAGCACAATAAGAGGCAGATCTAGCAAGTAGAAACTATTTAGAACAATGGATCACAAAGTATTGCTATGAATCTCAAAGCTCCTTCGAATCTACTTAATCCTCAGATGATTTCACTTTGTATTTCGATAAAAAGGATCAAAGCAAGATGAGATAAAAGTGAAGATAAGACATCGATCAAAAGTTGGCCGAGACATCCTTACCTCACACGAAAAAAAAAACGCAGATACAGTACTTTACACAATGTCCACAAAGAACGATAGAAGGGTTTATGGTTTTTAAATAATTGTGTAACGCTTATTAACGAGAATACGTATATAATAACATTTAATACAATCTTTTATTTTGGGTCTAAATTAAAGTACAATTATTTGTGGTCAAAGTATCTTGTGTTAGCATAACAATCTGATTTTCTCCTTATTTGACTTTTTCCCACTTTTTCTTTGATTTCTCACTAAGTAAACTATTCGTAATTTAATCTTCACAAAAAATTTCATTTCCCGAAAAGTCAAATTTGGTTACGGATAACGCTGGAAACATATCTGCGATTATGCGTTATGGATTTTTTTTCGATTCGGCTTCCCATATCTGATTGAAATTATTATTTTAAAATTTATATCATTGACATAAAATGAAAATCGTCATTTATCCATTTAGGACCGCAAAGAGAACGACGCGTGTTCAATTGTATGGAGTATATATTTTCTTTTTGAACAATTAATAAGATTTAATTGTTACTTTTGTTTATCGTCAGTTTCAGTTTTAGTTTTACATGTCTTTAGGATTTCCACAGTATTCAGTTTGTTCGCATCCGCAACCATAGAAAGTACAAAGGTAAGTTAATATGGCATAAACCTATATAAACCTGATTGCATTCGCGAGAAATAGTTTGCTTTGAGATACACATTACAAGTTAGTATGTTTGAAAAGTCTTGATAAGCTCTTGTGGTTTCAACATTGTACCTTTGCATTCTTCCTCTGCACACAAGTTATTTGTGATCTTCCTTGCTAGAATCTTGTATGGTTCTCTAGCTTAAGAGACCACTTTTTTTATATCAGTCTTTTTAAGTTTATTATTCGGAACTTATGTCATATTTGGCTAGGAGTTAATAAGAGATGTACAATTTTTCTGTATTAGTATATAAGAGATCTTTGGGTACGCTTTATTGCTTATTTTGGTACGCTTATTTTGCTTTAGTTACAAGCAAGCTATCTTATTAGGTCGAAATGCCACAAGAACTCGATAAACTAAAAATTATTAGAACAGTCCATATCAAATAGCAAAAGAAGAAGCTCCACAACATTGACAAACTACACAAGCAACTATTAAATGATGAAAAAAGTAGTTAGTGTGAAAGTATACAAAGCCCAATTAATCAACAAGGCCCATGTCTAGAGAAAGATCTAGATCAGCACGAGTGTCTTCTCCAATACACCAAAACAACATTACGGAAGAATGGAAAAACAGAGGAAGTAAGAGCAAGTAGCTCAGAGATCCCACTACACAATTAATACGATTCTCTCTTGTCTTTGGAGTGTGGTTTGATGATTGACAGATGTCACTAGATCCTTTAGTGTGGGAAAACCCTAGAATCTTCTCTAGATTCTGTATAAATAGAATTCATCTGTGTAAGAGACTGAATTTTGGTGAATGAAAAACATATTTTCTCAGAGATAAAAGTCTCTTTCGTTTTTTCACATAGTGAAGATAGTGACAATGTCAATTAGTGTGGTTTTTAAACAAAGCTGCCTTCATCTGAGAGCTAGGCTTGAACAATTATAATGTGGCTTCATCACAAGCGTAGTTCAGCTTTATTCTTCTCTTCCAATATCTGCAATCCTTAAGAATAATCGTGACCCGAACCGTATTTCACCTCTTTTCTTAATATCCTCCACAATTCTTTTCACAATCACACCGTTCATATCTTCCTCGGAAGCAATCGATGAAACGTTAAGCAGCATAATGAACCAATGTTATAAAACTAAATATGATCATTCAAAAGAGTGCTAATTAGTTTTAAAAAACAAAAAAAAATTCAACAGCCTTAAAAGAGATTATGAACCAAAACTTTTAAGCAATGCATGCACACACACACACACACACACACACATGTACACACACACACACACACAAAGTGAATAAAAAAAAAGTTACAAACGAAAAAGAAGTGTATTGATGAAATTCTTTTAGTGACATATTTTTTTTTGCAAAATCAAGGGCCAAAAAACTATATACAGATACGAATTTTTAGTTTTGATAAGTGCATATCTTTTTTAATATATGTATAACTTTTCATTTTTATACGTGCCTAAAATATTTCCTTAAAATAATTTTTTCTTTAAAGTTTTTTTAGGGTATTGCTGTTGAACAATTCAACAACATCCAACAAGATTTTATTCAAAATCCAGAAAATATCTGAGAGTCAAACATGATCATTAATGAAAATATTAGAAATATAACAAAAAAACTATTATCAAAACAAGAAAATATTGATGAAAAAGAAGGTCCAACATTGGGAAAAAGAATAACAAGAAACTATTGACGAACAAAGTACTTAATTAGTGACGATAGCGCAAGTTGGTTGGTTTCCAAACGCAAATGCCTTCTTAGAGCCATGCTCGAACCGGAAAGTGGCTTCATCACACGCATACATCATCTTTCCGCTCGTCCCTTCTCTACAGTCCGGAAGAAGCAATCGAGCACCGAACCATGTTTCACCTTTTTCTTTAATATTATCCATAACATCTTTCACAATCAAATCGTCCGTATCTCCCTCTAGAGCAATCGATGAAACCTTAAGCAGTTTAGCCCAACTCGGTTGAAGAGTGTAACTGATCACTCACAAGAGGTTAGTCTTAATGGAAATTTACAAAAGAAGAAATTCAATATAAAATAAAAATGGATAATAAAAGAGAGTATTGTTACCTCTCTAATTATGAAGTAGCAATGGTTACACCTTCGTAAAGAATGTAAGCCTTTAAATCTCCGTCGAGACACACATACTGACCAGGAAGTCTATCAGGAATCCTGATCAATAAATCCCATTTAAAACTAAGACGAGTCTCGGTTACGTTAAGCACCGTGAAATCCATAGATGGTATTGTAATTTTCATAGCATTGTCATCCGAATTTTTTGCAAAAATAAAGAGCCAGGCGATGGCCGAAATTGCGAGGACTGTGAAGAAGAACAATTTCATATTTCGTTTGAGCTCACCCCATAGAGAGGTGGCTTTGGAAAGTAATGCTTCGTTTTCCATTTTGTAACGCAGAGAGAGAGCGAGAGAGGTACAGATAATATATCTTTTGAACTATATTTTATAAAGAGAGATTCTTGGTACACATATACATCTGTTTGAAATATTTCGTAAAATAAAAATGAATAAAATAACTATACCCGTGCGCGTAGCATGGATCGTAAAACTAGTTTTACTTGTTACAAATACTTTTTTAATTAAATATTATCTACAAATCTTTAACAAAAACAAAAATTTATATCTTAAACATATTTTTATAAAAATCTGCAAGTCTTGAGGAAATGTTTTCGCTATATTGTTCTTCAAGGCTACCCCTATACTTATAAATTATTTTTACTGTTTTTTAATTTTATCAAAAAATAAATAAATTGTTTTTACAAAATTATTCCTAAAATCCAAATACATCACAAGATTTCAACAGGTGCTGTTTTCCTTCAGTTTTACGCAGGGATAATAATCTAGAAAATTGATACAAATCCTTATTTAGTTATTTCTCGATATACTTTTTAAATGGATTGTCCATATCACAATGAAACAGATAAAAGGTCCAGCATGCAGAACTAATCAAACAATAAAACTATTGATGAAAAAGTATTACTTAACGAACATAGAGGCAAGTAGGCTGTTTTCCAAACGATGTTGCCTTCTTATGAGAGCTAGGCTCGAACCGTAACGTAGCTTCATCACACGTATAGTTCATAGTTGCCTCCGTCCACTTTCTGCAATCCGGAAGAATAAATCTCGATCCAAACCGTATCTCACCACTTTGCGTAACATCTTCCATAATATCTTTCACAACCAAACCGTCCATGTCTCCCTCAGAAGCAACCGCTGAAACAGTAAGCAGCTGTGCCCACTCGGGTGTCAAATTGTAGCTGATGGATCATGAAGAAGAGTGAATCTTAATTAGTATAAAAAAAGTAGTTAAATCGTTCCAAAAAAAAGAGAGACATGTAGAGTTAAATAAAGTGTAACCTCTCTATGGTTGAATTAGCGATGGTAACACCTTTATAAAAAATGAAAACCTGAAAATCCCCTTTGAGACACATATAGTAACCAGGGAGATCCGATGGAAGCCTGATCAATAAATCCCACTTTACATCAAGACGACTCTCGGTTACATTAAGCATCGTGAAATCAATAGATTTGATTGTAATTTCAGGGACATAATTTTCTTCTTCTTTTTGAATTTCATCGATTTTTTTGGCTGATAAATAAAAGTAACCAACCACAGCAAATAAACCAATCAAGATCAAGACTGTTATGAGGAAACCTCTCACATACTCTTGTTGCCTGTCTGTAAGCTTATCCCATAGAGAAGTGGGTGTGGGGGCTTCGTTTCCCATGTTGTGACGCAGAGAGAAAGAAAGAGAGAGAGAGAGAGAGAGAGAGAGGTGTCTATATAACTTTGCTTTATATATATAGTTAATAATACCATTATATAATCTTTTCAGGAGATCTTAGAGATATCGTTAAATAAATAAAATAAATTGTATTTATGTAAATTTCCTTATTGTTAAATAATAGATTTCCTAATTATCATATATGTAAATAACTAGTTAATCAAGTTAAAAAACGTTAACGTGTATAAACAGATCTATTGGCTAATCAATAAATTGGGAGGAACTATATATACTTCTAAGGTTTCGTCAAAATTTATCAAATCTGAAAATAAACATCGGGCCATTTTACATCCAAAAGTGACAATAATCACGTGTCATTCATCAGTATTGCATAGTACGTAGTAAAAGGCAACACTATAATTTTTTGAGTGACAGCAACACATCAACAAATCTCTTAGATCATGAGAACAAATGTTCAAAAAGAAAATTTAAACTCCATGGGACTGAATTAACTCAAGTTACAAACCATATTCCTCAATTTATTGCACCAGACCAACACTACATATCTCAAAATCCATGGTCTAGTACTTAGTGATGATAGCGGCAAGTTGGTTGGTTTCCAAACGCAGTTGCTTTCCTCTGAGATCCAGGCTCGAACCGTAACGTGGCTTCATCACACGCATAATTCATCTTTCCGCTCGTCCCTTCTCTGCAATCCGGAAGAAGTAATCGAGATCCGAACCGTGTTTCACCATTTTCTTTAATATCGTCCATAATAACTTTCACAATCATACCATCCATATCTCCCTCGGAAGCAACCGATGAAACCTTAAGCAGTTTAGCCCACCTCGGTTGAAGAGTGTAACTACTCACAAGAGGTTAGTCTTAATCAGTGTTTCGAAACCAAAAAATAAATATATTTGCAAACAAAACTAACGGGTCCGAAGAGATTATGAGTCAAACCTTGTTATTAGGCCACAAAAAAAAAGATTACAAAAGAAGAAATTCAATTTACACCTTTGAGAACTAGAAGAGAGTATTGTTACCTCTCTAATGATGAAGTAGCGACGGTTACACCTTTATAAAGTATATAAACCTTTAGATCTCCTTCGAGACACACATAGTGACCAGGAAGTCTTGGAGGAATCCTGATCAATAACTCCCATTTAAAACTAAGACGAGTCTCGGTTATGTTAAGCACCGTGAAATCCATAGATGGTATTGTAATCTCCGGTGCATAATTGATTTCCCCATTTTTTGCTATGGTGATGAGGATAACGAAGATGAGCAAGAATGGGAGGAGTATGATGCAGGCCAAGTCAATTTGTGTGAGCTTACCACATAGAGAGGTGGGTTTGGAAATTAATGCTTCGTTTTCCATTTTGTATCGCAAGGAGGGGAGAGACGTGTGTGTGTAAAATATATACATTGATGTAAACAACTTACTTCAAAGGTTATTATACAGCTTTAAATAATTTATTTCTTTAAGAAGATTTTGATAAGTGCATATCTATTTTAGGTAGTTGTTTAATGCAGATTTGATTCAGAAATCCGTAAAATATGCAAAAATGAAAACTTACATTACCTTAAACTTAGAAGTATATTTTGTTGATGACACAAAAAGGGCATTTTGTTGTTACCATTTTCTGCATAAGTGTTTCAAATCCGTGCAACGTCTTATGGGAAATTCCATTTTCAGTTACTTTTCTTTTTATCAATAATTGTTTTTATTTTTTATTAAAAATGGTCTTTATATAATCTTTTAATGGATTGTAACATGTTTTCTAAATTTCTGTTTTAGTTTTAATTCTTGAGAAATACTATCTAGTATCTAGATGCAGGTTTTAATTTAGTATCAAATTTACAAAAAAAGAGAAGCTGAGTTCGCCCTAATTTCAATCTCTCTCAGGCACAACCTCCAAGACAGCCGCCGACCTCGCGCAGCTCCGATTTCGGAACGACTCTCCTTCACCGGAGTTTCTTTCATGAAATTGGAGCTTCGCTCCCTCTTTCCCGGGTTTCCCCTTTGTAACCCGATGTCTTTTTTACTCTTTCCGCTGTTAAGTCTTTCGTCGATGAGGCTTCTCCTCTGCATCTCGCTTCTCCTCTCTATCTCGCTTCTCCCAGAAATTACAATATCTCGCTGTTATGTCCCAGAAAATTATGTAACACCCAAGCTTAATTAATGAAATTAAGTGTTTGAACAAAAAAAAAAAAATTTAGTATCTAGATCTCATTTTAATTTGTTCAATTTTTCTAAATTACCCTTCAAATTCCAAAAGATCACAAAATATGTTTATGAAGGGTTTTAGGAAAGTGTACTAAATGATTTAACAATTCTTTCAAAAATTTACAAACCGTTGCTAAACCTAAAATCTATGGTATTTTGAATTTTTGTTTTTAAAAATAATTTTTTTGTTCTGTGGATTTTTAGATATATATTTTTCGTTCTCCAAATTTATCCTTAAAATCCAAATATATCCCTACAATTATGTGGGGGGATATATTTAGGTAAAGACAGTAGATTTTTAATAACCTTTCTATGGTTGAATTAGAGATGGTAACACCTTTGTAAAGTATGAAAACTTGAATATCTCCTTTGAGACACATAAAGTAACCAGGAAGATCCCATGGAAGCCTGATCAATAAATCCCACTTTACATCAAGACGACTCTCGGTTACATTAAGCACGGTGAAATCAGTAGAAGGTATTGTAATTTCTGGGACATAATTTTCAGCTTCCGTTTTTTTCCTTTCAATATCCTTCCTGCTTTCTACATAGCCGAAAACAGAAAGCGCAATAAAGCCGACCATGACCAAGAAGACTATGAGGTATACCTTCACTTCAAACTCTTCGTTTCCCATTGTGCAACGCAGAGAAAAGGTGAGAAAAAAAGTGTGTATATATATATAACACCCCAAATCCTGTAACCTCGAATACGAGCCCCCTTAAGATTTTTAAATCCAAAGCCCAAGTGAAACAATTGTATTAAACGAAGTAGGACATGTCGTTATGTAGTATGCACTTATATATATATATATATATATATATATATACACATTATATGCCTTTGAGCACAAAACTTTTACCAAATTAATACTCTGTTTTGGAGTTTTCACACATATTTACTATATGGGGGTGTATTGAAATTGGGATTTGGAGTGATTTAGGGTGATTTGTTTTAAAATGACAAATCCATTGTTATTCAAATTTGAATTAAAAAAAAAAACCTTTTAAAATCTAGTGTTATTGAACTTGTGTTTTTAAAATTCATTTTCAAATCCATTGTTATTGGAAATATTTTAAAAAGTGGATTTAAAAAAATAGATTTGATTTTAGAGTGATTTAGTAAGATTTCCTTGTTAAAAATAAGAGACTTCATATCACATGGTTTTAAATAGGATTTTAAAATGATTTAACTAAAATCACTTGAACTTCTATGATTTACAAAAAATCATCTAAAAACTCACTAAAAATCAAATCACCCTAAATCATTCCAAATCCCTAGTTTAATACCCCCCCCTTAAATGTATTATTCTATGTGAATTAACAGTTTCCAAACCGATAATAATTCAAGAAGTTCTATTATTTTCTTAAAGTTTACAATTTATCAAGTTAAAACATTCTTTTAGAAAAGAGGGAGTATATAACATGAGTTATTTACTAGTGATTTTAAAATAAAAAAGGCTGAAAAAATATGTTCTAGAATTAATATTTTGTTTAGTTCACAAAGAAAAACAAACTATTGTATACTATATTACATTTTATTTAGAATCGTTCTTTGACAAGCACTTTATACATGCATGTTATACAAAGTAGCAAAGTTGTGTCCACATAACTTTGGGAAAAAAGTTGATAAATAATACACGAAAAGTGAAAATAGCTGCAGGTTGGTTGCTTTCCTCTGAGAGCCAGGCTCGAACTGTAACTTGGCTTCATCACACTCATAGGCCTTCACACGCGCACATTCAGAGTTTTTCCCTTTAGGAAGGAGTACTAATGATTTAACAATTCTTTCAAAAATTACAAACCGCTCCTAAACCTAAAATCTATGGTATTTTGGTTTTTTTTAATAAATAAATAAATATATTTTGTTCTTTGGAACTTTAGATATTCCTCGTTCTCAAATTTGGAAAAAGCCCTACTTATAATCCGAGTGATATTATCCTTCAAATCCAAATATATCCCAAAAAAAATAGGTGATATATTGCCCATATCATAAACGAAAAATAAGAAAAGAAAGGAAAAAACGAAAAAGACGAAGGTCCAACATTAGCAAACTAAACACACATGCGCAAAACTTCCGATGAAAAGTATGACTTAACGAACATAGCGGCAAGTAGGCTGTTCTCCAAACGATGTTGCCTTCCTCTGAGAACCAGGCTCGAACTGTAACGTGGCTTCATCACACGCATAGTTCATCTTACCGTTCGTCCCTTGTCTGCAATCCGGAAGAATCAATCTCGATCCAAACCGTATCTCACCACTTTGCTTAACATCTTTCATAAAATCTTTCACAACCAAACCGTCCATATCTCCCTCAGAAGCAACCGCTGAAACAGTAAGCTGTTGAGCCCAACGAGGTATCAAAGTGTAACTAATAGATCATGTAAAAAAGTGAATCTAAATTAGTTACAAAGTAAATAAAAATTTAAATCGTTTAAAATTAATAAAAAATCGAAAAGAAGAAGAAGAATAAAGACAGTAGGTTGTAAATAATTAACCTTTCTATGGTTGAATTAGCGATGGTAACACCTTTGTAAAGTATGAAAACTTGAGAATCTCCTTTGAGACACATAAAGTAACCAGGAAGATCCCATGGAAGCCTGATCAATAAATCCCACTTCACATCAAGACGACTCTCGGTTACATTAAGCACGGTGAAATCAGTAGAAGGTATTGTAATTTCTGGGACATAATTTTCTGCTTCTTTTTTTTCCCTTTCAGTTTGCTTACCGACTTCTACATAGCCGAAAACAGAAAGCGCAATGATGCCGACCATGACCAAGACGAATATGAGGAACTTCTTCTTCTTCTTCACATCCCATCGAGAAGTGTTGTCGGGGGCTAACCCTTCGATTCCCATTGTGTGTTATGCAGAGAAAAAGTGTGAAACTAATGAAACTAAATTATAACACCCCAAGTCCTCTAATCTCGAATACGAGGCCCCTTAAGATTTTTAAATCCAAAGCCCAAGTGAATTTATAAACAATAATTGTAAAATGTTTATGTAATTAAGGATTAAATATTATAGTTGGGAACAAATGAAATATTGGGTGTACAAAATATCACCAAAACAAAAAATGTCTATGAAGGGTTCCAGGAAAGTGTACTACATGATTTAACAATTCTTTCAAAAAATTACAAACCGTTCCTAAACCTGAAATTAATCTATGGTATTTTGTTTTTTTAAATAAAAATATATAAATAGATATTCAGAGGAAAATATATATATATATATATATATATAAAACTTTTGTTCTGCGATTATAGATATTTCTCGTTCTCCAAATTTATCTATAAAATACAAATCTATCCAAAAATTAGGTGATATCGATAGGGTTTATGATAAACTGAATTGCCCATATCATAAACGGAAAAAAAAATAAAAAATAAAAAAAAACGAAAAAGACGAAGGTCCAACAGCGTTGGCAAACTAAACACACACAAAACTTCCTATGAAACGTATGACTTAACGAACATAGCTGCAAGTAGGGTTTTTTCCAAACGATGTTGCCTTCATCTGAGAACAAGGCTCGAACCGTAACGTGGCTTCATCACACGCATAGTTCATCTTTCCCTTCGTCGACTCTTCTCTGCAATCCGGAAGAACAAATCTCGATCCAAACCGTATCTCACCACTTTGCTTAACATCTTCCATAATATCTTTCACGACCAAGCCGTCCATATCTCCCTCAGAAGCAACCGCTGAAACAGTAAGTTGTTGAGCCCAACGAGGTATCAAGTTGTAACTGATCCATCATGTAAAAGAGTAAATCTTAATTAGTTACAAAAAAAAAAAAAAGTGAAATCGTTTCAAGAAGAAGAAAAAAAAGGTAGAGTTTTTAAAGAAAAAAGTGTAACCTCTCTATGGTTGAATTAGCTATGGTAACACCTTTGTAAAGTATAAACACTTGAAAATCTCCTTTGAGACACATAAAGTAACCAGGAAGATCCGAGGGGAGCCTGATCAATAAATCCCACTTTACACGAGTCTCTGTTACGTTTAACACCGTGAAATCAATAGAAGGTATTGTAATTTCCGGGACATAATTTTCTGCTTCTTTTTTTGCCCTTTCAATTTCCTGATGGATGCCACTATTAATTTCCTTACTGAGTTTTACAAAGCCGAAAACAAGGCCGAAAGCAACAAGCACAAATAAGCCGGCTATGACCAAGCCTATGAGGAACTTCTTCACATCCTCCTTTTGTCTAACTGTAAGCCTATTCCCAAGAGAAGTGTATTCGGTGGCTAACCCTTTGTTTCCCATTGTGTTATGCAGAGAAAAGTTGAGAACAAGTGTATATATATAACACCCAAAACTCCTCCTCTTATCTGGAATACGAGGCCCTTACGTTTTTTAAATACAAAGCCCAAGTTAAACAATTGTTTTAAACGAAGTTGAACATATCGTTATGTAGTATGAAATTATATTCACATTTTTTTTTTTTTTTGACAACGATTATATTCACATTATTATATATGCCTTTGAGCACAAAACTTTTACCGAATTGTGATTCTTTTTTTTTATATACATGATTGTTTTTTTCGTAAAACAATTTTTTTTTCTTTATAAATAGTTGGAATTGAAGAAGCTGATGACTTTCAAAATTTAAAATATGTTTGATCCAGAATGTTACTCGACGTTGCAAACACCATAATACCAAATAAAGCACCAGATCACATTCACACGAGACTATCTGGATCTTGTTCATCCGCAATAATTAGTAAATGAAACATGTGACGAACTCATGTGTAGGAGTCTGAAACGTGTAATACCTTATATTAAAATCCTTAGCAATATGAAACAGACGAAAGGCAATACTACAAAAAAGTTAGTGACAGCAACACATCAACAAATCTCTTTGATCATGAAAACAAATGTTCAAACCCAAAAGGTAAACTCCAGGTACTTAATTAACTCAAGTTACAAACCGCATTCCTCAATTTATCCAGAAAAATTGCGCCAGGCCAACACTATATTTCTCAAAATCCATGGTCTATTACTTAGTGAAAATAGCTACAGGTTGGCTTCATCACACTCATAGGCCTTCACACGCATAGTTCATTTTTCAGATTTTTTTCCTTTAGGAAGGACCGAAGGAGTACTAATGATTTAACAATTCTTTCAAAAATTACAAACCGCTCCTAAACCTAAAATCTATGGTATTTTGTTTTTTAAAAATAAATTTTGTTCTTTGGTACTTTAGATATTTTCTCGAAAAAGCCCTACTTATAATCCGAGTGATATTATCTTTAAAATCCAAATATATCCCAAAAAATAGGTGATATATTGCTCATATCATAAACGAAAAATAAGAAAAGAAAAGAAAAAACGAAAACGACGAAGGTCCAACATTAGCAAACTAAACACACATGCACAAAACTTCCGACGAAAAGTATGACTTAGCGAACATAGCGGCAAGTAGGCTGTTTTCCAAACGATATTGCCTTCCTCTGAGAACCAGGCTCGAATCGTAACGTAGCTTCATCACACGTATAGTTCATATTTGGCTTCGTCCACTTTCTGCAATCCGGAAGAATAAATCTCGATCCAAACCGTATCTCACCACTTTGCTTAACATCTTCCATAATATCTTTCACAACCAAACCGTCATGTCTCCCTCAGAAGCAACCGCTGAAACAGTAAGCTGTTGATCCCAATGAGGTATCAATTTGTAACTGATCGATCATGTAAAAAAGTGAATCTAAATTAGTTACAAAATAAATAAAAAGTTATATCGTTTTAAATTAATAACAAATCGAAAAGAAGAAGAAGAAAAAAGACAGTAGAGTTTTAATAACCTCTCTATGGTTGAATTAGCGATGGTAACACCTTTGTAAAGCATGAAAACCTGAAAATCCCCTTTGAGACACATATAGTAACCAGGAAGATCCGATGGAAGCCTGATCAATAAATCCCACTTTACATCAAGACGACTCTCGGTTACATTAAGCACGTTGAAATCAGTAGAAGGTATTGTAATTTCCGGGACATAATTTTCTGCTTTTTTATATATCCTGTCAACTTCCTTATCGAGTTCTACAACACCGAAAACAACAATCGCAACCATGCCGGCTATGACCAAGAAGACTATGAGTAACTTCTTCACATCGCATGGAGAAGTGTTTTCAGGGGCTAACTCTTCGTTTCCCATTGTGCAACACAGAGAAAAGGTGAGAAAAAGTGTGTATATATATAACACCCCAAGTCCTCCTCTTATCTGGAATACGAGGCCCCTTAGGATTTTTAAATACAAAGCCCAAGTGAAACAATTGTATTCTCAAACGTAGTAGAACATATCGTTACGTAGTATGTATGCACTTATATATATATGCCGTTTGAGCACAAAACTTTTACATGTTTGAGAATCAATCGCGATGTTTTGGAGTTTCCACATATAACGCGAAAACAAATTAATTTTTTTTTTTTTTGACAAAGGCAAATTAAAAGTTTACTATAACTGTATTAATTTTTGTGAATGACATTTTCTTATAACTTGAAACCAACACGTATATATAGTTCAATTATTTTTCTTAAAGTATACAATTTATCAACTTAAGAGATTCATTATTTTGAAATAAAAGTAAAAACTAAAACAATCTTTCTTTTAGAAAAGAGTACTATATAATAATATAACATGAATTATTTATTAGTGATTTTTGTAAGAAAAGAGGGTGAAAAATTATGTTGTAGGATTAAGATTTTGTTTAGTTCACAAAGAAAAACATACTATATTAGATCTGATTTAGAATCGTTCTTTGACAAGCACTTTATACATGCATGTTATACAAAGTAGCAAAGTTGTGTCCACATAACTTTGGGAAAAAGTTGATAAATAATACACTAAGATATAGTATATTACGATGTGTGATTTTGATTTGAAACCATACAAAAATATATATAAACAGTAATAGTGAATTTTTTATATAAGGATTAAATATTATAGTTGGGAACAAATGAAATATTGGGTGAGGGTATAGGACCCATGACAAGAATGAATGAAGGAAGTAAGTGACAACAAAATCTTTTTCGACAAAGAAAAGGAGGAATCGAATATGCCTCCTTCACCGTCCATTCACTCTTTGTTCCCTCCACCACTCTTTTTTCTTGTTTTGTTCTTATATAATTACAATACACTGTGTTCAATTCCATGGCTCTGGCTCTGGCCATATATTTAAGACTCTTGAGATTCAACTTCATTCGTGGATAAACAGTTTGCGTCGGATCCTGATATTTGTCCAATGGTTGATTAGTGAGTAGATTTGGGAGATTTGTTTTTGTCGATAGCTGCACAATCAGTGATTATGTTGGTGCCTAACAATCCAAAAATCTGATGCTACGTAAATATAACAGTAAATGAATTGTGGAATCTAATAATTTTTCTTTGTCTCCATGTTCTTCTTTTTCATCATACCAAAATCGTTGCAGCCCTAACAACGTTAACTTTGGTTCGGATTCGGTTCATAATAGCACAAATAAAATAAACTATGGCTTTAGAGAATCAGATTATAATGCTATTTTAAAGGGTTTTCAAGCAGTAACAAAAAAACACATACATAGCAAATTTGTTACTGTGAGATATATACAGAAACGAAATTTGTTTGGTGGCTGTGAATTGATTTCCACAGAAGTAAAGGCCTTTCTCACTGTTGAGAAAACTAAACAAAAGAAAGAGAGATATATTCCACTAAGTTATGTAATGCTTCCTCGAAATAGCCAACGGACCAAAACCATCCTTTTCTGTTTTTGATATGATAAAATAAGATTCTCTGCTTTTCTTTTTATAACACAAAAATAATGTTATCTACTAAAATATGGTAGGAGGCTTTCACATGATGTATCACTATCAACCAATCACAGAACAACTTTTGTAGAAGATCACCTTGCACGTACACTACACATACGACGCTCATTTTCCTTCTATAGGTATATTGATAGAATTACAATAGCACTCGAAGGTGTATCTAGGAGATGCACAAATATAAAACTTTCATAAATTGAGACAAAAATTTGTATTCTTTTGGAAAAATAAAGCTTTAGTTTGAGGTGTTATTATCAGTATACTTGGTCGCAGTTAAAATGTCAAGTGTGATTTTTTTTTTTTGACGTCCAAACTCATATATTATTGATATTAACCAATCAAGACAGCTTCAAGAGCTGCCCAGCTTGGAATCGAAGGGTTTACATGAGTAAAACTAAAACCACATGCTCTTTCTCCTTTGGAGAGACAATCGGCACAGACATTACACAATCGTGGTATGAAAGATAGTGAGAAATAAATAAACGAAGCATGAATAAGTTGAAACTCATCTAATTCCGAGGCCAATGACGGCCAATCTTCTTCCTCTATGATCGTCACCAGCTGGAGGCAATCCGTCTCGAAGCTAAGAGAGGTATAGCCTAACTGTAAGGCTACCTTCATGGCCCATATAAGCGCTGCAAATTCAGCATGCAGAGGGGATAGTACTTGTGATCTTGCTGAGGCTCCATACACGTTATCTCCGCTTTCATGGTCCAGTACGAGACCCATCCCTATGAAGTAACTATAAATGCCCCAAGAGGCATCAACTTGACATCCCGGGAAATTTATCGGGGGTTCCTCTTGTACCACCGTGGAGAGTGTGATCGTGTCTTCATCTATAACTTCTTCCAGGATTTGTGCGGCAAACCAAGCCTCCGTTTCTGCATGTGCGAGTTGGAAAGTATGTTCAGGTGTAATGTCTGCATTCTCAAAAACCTTAGCATTTCTGGCCTTCCATAGTTGCCATACTATCCATGGGAACTGGTCAATGGTTTTGTCCGGCACCTGATTCTCCTTTACACGCCATAAGAGAAAGTCCAGGTTTGTAAAAATCCCATTACTCGGGAAAACCCCCGGAGTCATTGTAACGTTTGACTCTTGCCAGACTTGAATTGCCAATGGGCATTCAAACAACAGGTGATTGATCGTCTCGGGTTCTGTGACGCACCTCGGGCATGTTCGGTCTATACCACAATGTCTTTCCACCAAACGATTACGGACAGGGATACAATCTGCGACAGTTTGCCATAAGAAATGTTTAATCTTTCGAGTAGTTTTAACTGACCATACTTTATGTCGTAGAGCATTGGTACTTGGCTCCAAACAGTGTGTTGGTCCTAAACTCTCTTTTTGTTGTGTCACAAGAAAATATCCCGATTTCACGGAATAAGTTCCGGATTTGGTGTATGCCCATATGAGGCTATCAGCTTGCATCAGACGACTTGGTTTAATGCACATGACAAGTTTGACATCGTCTTCCGTAAAGAGTTGTCTGAGGATGTCTACTTTCCATTCTTGTCGTTGATGGTCTATAAGATGGTACACTAGCAAATATGGGTTCTTGTACACGCCTGTATCAGCTGGTTTGCGGGGAGGACACGTTGGGAGCCATAGATCTCTCCAAACAACCGTATTTGCCCCTGAACCTATCGAGCGTCTTAGGCCTGATTTAAGCAGATCACGAGCAGCCATCATACTGTTTTTCCACCCATAAGAAGGAGAGTTCGCTTTGCCTACATCCAAAGGGTTGGAATGCCAAAAATATCTTCCCTTCAATACTCTAGCGAGTAGTGATGATGGGTATCGATGAAGCCGCCATAGTTGTTTCGCTAGGAGTGCTAGGTTGAAATTTCTGAGATCTCTGAAGCCTAATCCTCCATTTTCCATTGATATGCATAATTTGTCCCAAGCTATCCAATGTATCCCACGGCTTTCTTGCTTTGTACTCCACCAAAAGTTAGATATAGCACTTTGGAGCTTTTTGGTTATGTCTTGTGGTAGCAGAAAACAAGACATTACATATGTGGGGAGAGCCTGAGCTACTGATTTAATGAGGACTTCTTTCCCTCCTTTAGACAACAGTTTGGCCGACCAAGAGTTTATTCTCTTGCTTAGTCTCTCTTGGATAAAAGCAAATGCTTATTTCTTTGATCCACATATCTTCTCCGGCAGGCCAAGATACATTCCCATTCCTCCCTCCTTTGTAATGCCCAAAGTTCTCTTTAGTTCAGCTCTTATGTCTGGTGGGACCTTGTGTCCAAAAAAGATGGAGGATTTTGAAGTGTTAAGCTGTTGTCCCGAAGCCTGTCCATAAGTATGGATGATTTTTAAAAGCTTAGCACATTGCTGGATATCTGCTTTGCAAAAGAAAAGACTATCGTCTGCAAATAGGAGGTGAGAGATTGCTGGGCAGTTTCGTGCTATTTTAAGTCCCGTTATTCTTCCTTCTGCTTCTGCACCTTTAAGTTGAGCGACCAGGGCCTCGGTTAGGATGATGAATAAAAACGGTGAGAGGGGATCTCCCTGTCTCAGACCACGTGATGGACTAATACTTCCTTTAGCTTCTCCATTAATGAGGACTTGATACGTAACTGTCGAGATACAAGTACGTATCCATGAGACCCAGGTTTGTGAGAAGCCCATTTTTAGCATTAAGGCTTCTAAGAAGGACCATTCGACGCAGTCGTATGCCTTGCTCATGTCTGTTTTGATGGCCACAAATTTAGATTTGCATATCGGGTTTGTTCGAAGGGCGTGGAAGGCTTCCTGGACAATCAAAATGTTGTCCGTAATGAGGCGTTTTGCTACAAAAGCTGACTGTGTCTCCGATATTAAACTCGGGAGGAATTTCTTGAGCCTTCGACATAGGATTTTTGAGATAATTTTGTAACAAACGTTGCACAAGCTTATTGGTCGGAACTCAGTCATCTCTCTTGGTCTCTCCGTCTTAGGAATAAGACAGATGCTTGTCTTATTAAGACTGAGGTCGAGGCTTCCTGTGGAGAAGAAATCTTTCACCATGCAGATAACGTCTTCCGCTACAATCTCCCAAAATTTTTGATAAAATAAGCTTGTCATCCCGTCTGGGCCAGGTGCCTTCTCCGGGTTTATCTCATTTATGGCACGCTTGATCTCGTCATTGGACGGAGGTTTTGTGAGAGCAACGTTCATCGTATGTGTAACTCTCTCGGTAACGTACCGGAGTGCATCACTGAAATTATTTGGTGCCGACGAGGTAAAGAGAGTTTGAAAGTATTCTGTGGCCACCCTCTCGATACCGTCGTCGGTTTCAGCCCATGTTCCATCATTTCTTTTCAGCTTGGTAATGCGATTACGTGCGCGACGCTGCTTGGTTGTTGCATGAAAGAATTTGGTATTTCTGTCTCCCTCTCTTAACCAAGTTACTCGACTCTTTTGCTTCCAATAAATCTCTTCTTCTCTAAAAGCTGCACAAAGATCCCATTTTAGTTTAAGAGCTTCCTCACTCGTACCACTGAGGTCCGTTTGGTTTTGTTCTAGCTGAGCCTTGATCTCCTCTATTTTCTTGATCGAATTAGATTTATTTGTTTTCTTCCATTTGGAAATGGCTTGTCGACAAGACGATATTTTAGAGGAGATACTTCCTTGTTCTGTATTCCTTGAGTTATCCCAGCCCTCTTTGATCGTTTGTTTCAGTCCCGTTTTCCCTAGCCAACGCTTATCAAATTTGAAATTGCGTTTGACTTCGAAGAGCTTGAATGAGATTCTCGCTAGCACGGGCCGATATCGGAATCCCAGAGTTTAAGGTACTCCACATTAGTGTGGGAAAAATCTTGGAACCAGTCTTCATTACCCACAGCTCTATCGAGACGGCATTGAACTTTCCCCCGTCTTCTGTAGCCCAACCATGACATTGAGTTCCCTTTGTATGGGAAATCTAGCATCCCGCAGCTATCCAACATACGTTTGAATGGTAGGAAGGAGGATTATGATCTCCGATTTCCCCCTTTCTTCTCATGGTTCCCTGTTAGCTCATTAAAATCACCCATCATTAGCCAAGGCCCTTGTCGGGTAAGACTAATCTGGTTCAGGCGGTCCCAGAAAGAAGCACGGCCCTCAGTGACCGGATCCCCATATATAAAAGATATGAACACTTTTTTTCCTTCGATGGTTGCTTCTATGTCTGATCATGCGGTTATCAGATGATAAAATATTCACATCAAAAGAATCAAAATAAAAAAGAGCTAGTCCACCGCTTCTCCCTTCTGGTTCCACGGTGAACAATTTATTATAACCAAAAGAAACTTGAAAGTCTTGCATAAAAGTAAAATTATTTTTTGTTTCTAAAAGAAAAAGAAAAGAAGGTGAAAAACAACGGTGCAATTTCTTTAGATGTTCTCCAGTGAGATACGCCCCGGCACCTTGACAGTTCCATGCAATTGTGTTCATATCTTCTTACTGGGTGGTTTCTGGGACACCACCGAACCTGATACAGTAGAAGAAGTCTTGCTTAAAGCAGAAGGAAATACCTCTTTACGAGGGAGAGTGGAGGAAGTGGAGGGTCTAAGACGCTTACCCCTTCCGAGCTTCTTGGGGGATGGTCTGGGACGGATAGCCTGGAGCTTCCTGGATGCACGGGAGCTCTTTACATCTGGACTTGCGGCCTTCTTAGCTTTCAAGGTCGTTGAGGTCTTGGAAGGGGCACTCCTCTTCCTCTTTTGTGCCTTGTCTTCCACGGTTGCTTGTGCCAATGGCTGGTTTAAAGCATTGTCTGGGGAGAGTTGAGAGATAGCTTCTATCTACTCAGCATCCGGATCCATCTCCTCATCCAGGAGGTCATCATTCTCCAGCATGTTCATCACATCGTCATCCAGTTCTTCGTCCATAACGGTATTGGTTAGCTCTGCAAACATGTCATCGAGCTGTTCTTCTGTAAACTCTCCTTCCTCAGGAATAGGTTCCATTTCGGTGTCCAGTGCAGCCTCCAAAGTGTTGATCCCCGGGGTTATGGTCGGGTTCTGATGTGAGGGGTGTGAATCAGCTTGAACAGGTGGATTAGCTCGGTTTGTGTCACTTGGTTCTCTGATTATTGGGCCCCCGATAGAACGGTGTGGAGGGAAAAACTCCGGCTCCGGATCCGTTACTATGGCTTTACCTTTGAGCTTTCGGATACGCATCACGTGGATAAACCACTAAGTGTCCGCGTGCCCTGTAGGTTGGATCCCGATGGCCATTAGGTAACTCTGATATGGTACGTTGAGAATCTGTTCTTGATTCATGAGACCTTCTGTTTTGATCAGACTCTGGAATTTGGGGTCACGGAATGATGGTGAGACTCTTTCTCACGTGGATACTTAGGTCTCTATACGTGTTGAGATTCACGTTGTAGGTCTCTAGAGTATCTAGGAACGTCACGGGATTTGTGGTAAGGGTGGTAACGTGTTTTTGCTGAGTAGTTACGATCGGACGAATCGCGTTCCAATCTTCTCCAAACATCTCTTCCTCTCGATTCCCTTCGTTCTCGTAGCTCGTGGCGTAAATCCCCAGTACGTTTCGGGGAATGATGTATAGTCGGAGATTTGTCCCTTTCCTGATATTCGCGTCTCGGGAGCAAAGCCCTTGGACGGTCATCAGCATGGGGATTCACCGAGTGTTTCTCCCTTGGTCGGGGTACGGAAACCGCCGTCGGGTTGGTTGGAAAGCTTGGAATGGCCAGGAGTCCGGCTAAAGCTTCCTGGCGTGTCTGTTCCGCACGTTGCAACTTTTTTTCTTCCCGTTGAGCTTCTGTTAGATCTGGGCATGTACTTTCTTCATGCGAGAGAAGCTTGCACGTGAAGCAATGCCTTTGGAGACCTTCATAGGTCAGCTTCACCATACCCGTATCTCCGTTAGGGAAACCAACTTTCCGTTCGAACTGTAGTGGGAGATCTGCGTTAATTGAGACTTGGACCTTTGCACGTTTTGCATCAATATTCATGACAAAACCCAAGGCTTTTCCAATCTCGTTAAAGGTAGGATTGTTCCAAAAGTGGACCGGCACGCCCGTGACTTGGATCCAAAAGGGCATGGAGTTTGGGAAGTCCTCACTGGTGAAGGGTTCCCACTTTTCCAGTGAAAAGCTCCAGCGGTTAAAGTGCCATGGCCTTTTAGCCAGAACCTTCATCATGTCTTCTTCCTGGTCGAAATTAAATTGGAACCGTCCGTTTCCGAGATTTATACCCTGGACTCTTCCTTCAACGTCCCAGATCTTTGGCTTGGGGAGCAAGTTGATCAGGGCATCTGTACTACGTCCTTCACGATGGAACATACGTCCAATCACAGTAAGCTTGAACTGTTCCGTGACTGCTTCAAGGTCACAATCCGGGAGCTTGATGATTTCCTCTTCTACCGCAAGCCTTCTTCTGACATGGCTCGAGGATCCTTCACGACGTTGACCAGCGGAGATCTGACTCATGATTGCTTCGGAGGGAGTGTGGGAACAAACTAGGTTTGTGGGTTTATGAGTAATATGACTTAGCACAGGGCTAGAAGGTAACAGAGATCCAATAGCACCAGTTCCAGCGAAGGCCAAAGTGTTCGAGAGATCTAGGGCTTCGCAGATCTGATGCTTGAGTGAGAGAGAAAAAACAAGAGCTTAGTAATACGCTAGATAGTGAAAAGAGGTCCCGAGGAATAGCATAAGATGTGAGAGAGAGGCGTAGCAGTAAGCTAGAGAGGGAAAAGCCGTATTTTAATAGAGGCCTAAGGTTTCACTCGCCGCCGAGAGAGCCAAAACCCTAGAGAGCGCATCTTGGGTTGATAACTTATTAGGTCAGATGTTAAGTGATGATTTAAAGTCTTAACCCTTTCTCAAAAAATAAGCCAACTATTTAAGATCGAATAATTTAGAAATATATAATCAGATATCTTTTGTTTCATTGCAAATTTTGGGTGTTCGCTTTTAACAAACGAAAAAAGTAAACACATCGAATCTTTCTCATGATTCAGATTAAGAATGATAAAATTTGGACTAGTTCACTTAGGGAAAAACGTGTTTCTTCTTGGTAAATCTAACACTGTAATAAAAAAAAAAAAAAAAAAAAAAAAAAAAAAAAAAAAAAAAAAAAAAAAGTGTTATGCAGTTGCTTATACAATCAGTTATTCCAATCAAGCATCTAAATTACATTTGAATATTTAACTATTCTCTTCTCTGTCAATAATTGTCACTTTTTCTATAAAATACTACTAGTAAATAAGAAACATCGAATGAAAATTGAATGGTCATAGCTTTGTATTATAATTGGAACCGAAGAAGATTCTTCAATCTACTCAGTGGTCAGTGCTACCGTGGACGGTCTATATATTGGATTAGAAAAAAAAAAGAAAATGATACTATATCGCAAACAGCAAGAGACAGATGCATCGAACGGTCCAGCTTTTCTCTTTTTTTTTGCTTATTGTTTTGGTGCAAAATTGTTCGTTTATCGAGTTAATCATAGTTAATCTTCTCCGAAACTTCATACACTCGCCGACAAATAAAAAATCTTCATCCACTAACATTTCTCGTAACTTGCACTAACATTTCCTTCATTAACTATTCACAAAAGTCTACGAACCATACCATTGGCTCACAAGAACTTATTTATTCATACACGTCTAAATCTAGTTATATACGTAACGACAACGAATCCATATTTGTACAAACGATGACACGAACAGCTCTTCTCTTCTTCAAACGGTCGAAAGCTTGCCACGCTTCGTCTCTATGGTGAATTATTAATTGTATTGTAATAACTTGTAAGAGCTTGGAAGTGGCGATTGGGCAAGATATTACTCATATTAGGATAGTGTTCAGATTTTCGATATAGTCAACATTGCCAATAGAGTCGTCTGCATTGTGAATATATCAAGTCAATGAAAAGGCAGTGTTGTTTTGGAAAGTTAGTAACGATACCATCATTTTATCTATGGACTATGGTAAACTAAAACTATTATGTTATTTAGTTGCAAACCTTTAATATGGTATCTTATCATATCAAATTCAGATTATTTTGACAACTAGATTAGGAGATAATTACAATCACAGTTTCCTTTTAAGCATGGTATCTTATCATAATAAATTCTGATTATTTGGTCAACCAAATTAGGAGCTAACAATTATCATACATTTCCTTGTAGTATGGTGTCTATTATGTAAACAAGCTTTCAATTTATCATCAGTCGATCAAATATTCAAATCATAGTCATAACTCATAACTTTCTTGAGTTTTGAAGTTTATTTGCAACATTATCTTTGTAGTTTTCTAATCATTATCTTTGTAGATCAATTATTTTGTAATATTTATTTTGGAAAGACAAAGTAATTCTGATATTAAAAACACAGAACGGTCAAAGTTTTTGTGGTGAGCTTAAACATACATAAAAGTAGAATCTTTTTTTTATTTACTAAAACGCAGTTTATAAACAAACACAAACCTTTTATTCTCTCTCTATCCGATCATTTTTCTCGCGCTCTTTGCGAGCACACCGAGAAGAAGAAGATGTCTCGAAGTTGCTCGCAGTGTGGAAACAACGGCCACAACTCTCGCACGTGTCCGACGGAAGCATCCGTATCCGTATCCGCCGCCGGCGGAGAGAAAGGCATCATGCTCTTCGGCGTCCGCGTCACAGAGGCTCCCTCGTCGTCGTCATCTTTCAGAAAAAGCGTCAGTATGAACAATCTATCTCAATTCGATTACGCCGCTCACGATTCAAACCCCGTCGACGACGGCGGTTACGCCTCAGACGACGTCGTTCACGCCTCCGTCAGAAATCGCGAGCGCAAGCGAGGTTTCGATTTGAAAAAAAACAATCTCAATTTTTTTTTTGTTCTTCTTCTTAATTTTGATTTTTGGATTTTGATTTGAATTAGGGACTCCATGGACGGAGGAAGAGCATAGATTGTTCCTCACAGGTCTGCATAACGTCGGGAAAGGAGATTGGAGAGGAATCTCCAGAAACTTCGTTAAAACTCGAACACCGACTCAGGTCGCGAGTCATGCGCAGAAGTATTTCCTCCGCCGCACGAATCAGAATCGCCGCCGCCGTAGATCCAGCCTCTTCGACATCGCTCCCGATCCGATAACAGAAGAGCAGACGTCATTGAAACTAATCCGTCCGATTCCGATTCCGATTCCGATTCCTCCGTCGCGGAAAATGGCTGATCTGAATCTGAGCAAGAAAACTTCAGCGCCGGAAAAGATGATTCCGATGTCGCTTAATCTACCGATACAGTCATCGTCGTCGTCTTCATCTTCCAATGAACAGAAGACACGTGGCTCACGTGCCACGGCGTTCGAGACGATGGCTAATAATGGGGATAGCATAATGGGAGTCGCTTGATGAAGAAGATAATGCTTTTTTATTTTAATCCTTTTGATTTAATTTATATTATAAGATAAGATTTGATGATTTAATGCGAAATTGGAGAACATTTCTTCAGGCTAATTAGATTACTACTTTGATCAGAAGACTTATTAGTGTGTACAGATTTCTTTTATACTTTTTTTTTTGTTGTCCTGTTGGAGAAGGAGACGCGTTGCCGTTTTTGTTGGTGTACGATATATGAATAATTTGGTAAAACAGCATGTAGTAGTCTCTCTGTGTTGTTTTGGTCAACTCAAGAGTCTCAAGACTTTCATCGATAGTGTTGTAGTTTGTACTTTGTATAGACTACTTCAAAGATACTGCGTCGTGTTGGTTTTGTGTCTTTGTGATGCTTAAATTAGTTGAATGGATTGTAAAGTTTAAACGATTTGGGTTATTGGCTAATTTATCTATTTTTTGTTTTGTTAGACTTTTCCTGTTTTTTGCCGTACTTTTCGGGATGTGTGTGTGTGTTGATTTAACGTCGCATTCATGAACCGAACACAGTGTAATATTTTACTATTAGCACACAGTACGTATTTTATTTTGCTTTACATCATCTTGTTTTATTGACGAATTATCATAGGTGTTAAAGTGATAACTTTGGAGATATAAATCGATTCTGATAGTAACACACTAACACCATATCAAACACAAGAGATGTAATTGTATTTTATACTAATGTCTTCATAGTTTAGTTTTTAAAAGATTTTTAGAGTGAGTGACCAACCAACCATAAGTGAAACTATAATAAGAAAACGTAATGATGATCTTTCAGTTTATAACCATCATGAATTGGTTTGGTCTACTGCATGGTTTTTCTTTGAAGCACTTTTTGTTAAAAAATCTCCTAAATCTGGATATATTTTCTTCGTCATCTTAATAGAGCAATAGAGCCCAATTTGATAATTGTTCTAACGGATCTCAAATATAAAGCAAAAATAGGCCTAGCTAAGGTACAGAGCATGGGCTCAATTGGTGTGTTAACGATTCTTTTAAATTAGTATAGTTTTTCACAAGTGTAATGAATTTCAGTATAATCTCCCTTTAACAGTTAAGACTCAAGTCTCAAACATAATTTAACTACTAAGATCCATGCAATTCAAGCTATTTACTGCTCCACCAAAAATGTTGTAACTTGTAACATACACTTCAAAATGTACTATCAAAAGGTTAGAAACATTTCCAACAATTATGAGTTTATGACTGTCCTACACCAACAGTTTAAACACGTTTTGTATATTTGGGCAAATGAGAGAGAATGTTGGTAGTACAACACATTCTCAATGATGATATTTCTTGGTAACAATTACTCTTAACCCCATACAAAAGTTTCTATAACAAGATTTATAAATGAAGTGTAAAATTGATTCTTTCGCAGAAAGTGCTTTGGTACCTACCTTTGATCGAGACATGAACACTAGAAACTGAATTTCATTTTCTTACTCTCAAAACCGCCTCAACGGCGTCGTTTAGGTGATGATTATTTATACCCAAAAATAAAGTTTGAATTTTTATTTGTTTCTTTTCAAATGGTTGCCTTCCACAAAGCTTAAACCACAGTCAATGGCCGTCCTTCCGCCATAGAAAGGAACAAAAAAAACATCACTGCTCTATCGAATCCCATCATGAAGAAGCTGACGATCTCGATCACCTTCTTCATCATCCTAATTTCGTCTTCTTCTTCTCACGCTGAAGACGACGTCCTCTGCCTCAAAGGCCTAAAAAGCTCACTCACCGATCCTTCAAATCGACTCAGCACCTGGTCTTTCTCCAATTCGTCATCGTCTTCCTCGATTTGCAAACTCACCGGAGTCTCCTGCTGGAACGCGAAAGAGAATCGCATTCTCTCTCTCCAGCTCCAATCGATGCAACTCGCCGGTCAAATCCCCGAATCGCTCAAGCTATGTCGCAGCTTGCAATCCCTAGATCTCTCCGATAACGATTTCTCAGGCTCGATTCCTTCCGAAATCTGCTCTTGGCTTCCGTATCTCGTCGCTCTAGATCTCTCCGGTAACAAACTCTCCGGCTCGATTCCGTCTCAGATCGTCGATTGTAAATTCTTAAACAGCTTAGCTCTCAGCGATAACAAGCTAACCGGTCCGGTTCCTTCTCAATTAACCCGGTTAGACCGTCTCCGGAAACTTTCTCTCTCTCACAACGATCTCTCCGGTTCGATTCCCTCCGACCTCTCTCAATTCGGAGAAGACGGGTTCACCGGCAATGGCGGACTCTGCGGGAAGCCGTTACCGAATTGCGGCTCTTTCAACGTGACGATCATTGTAATCGCCGGCGTGATTGGGGCTTTGGGGAGTGTTGGATTCGGATTGTTCTGGTGGTTCTTTATCCGTAGTAGTAACAGGAATGGTTACGGCGCCGGAAAATGTAAAGACGATAGTGATTGGATTGGTTTGCTGAGATCACACAAGCTTGTTCAGGTGACTCTGTTTCAGAAACCGATCGTGAAGATTAAATTGGCCGATGTGATCGCAGCTACGAACGGTTTCGATTCGGAGAACGTCGTCGTTTCGTCGAGAACCGGAGTTTCGTATAGAGCTGATTTAGCTGATGGCTCTGTTCTTGAGGTTAAGAGGCTTAGTGGTGGTGGTGTTGAGGTTAGTGAGTTTAAGTCTGAGATGAACAAGTTGGATCAAATCAGTCATCCGAATTTGGTTCCGGTTCTTGGTTATTGCGTTGTGGAAGATGAGAGATTGTTGGTTTATAAGCATATGGTTAATGGTACATTGTATTCTCAGTTGCATCGTATCGGTTTGGATTGGCCGGTTCGGGTTAGGATCGGAGTTGGTGCGGCTCGAGGACTAGCTTGGCTGCACCAAACGGGGTGTGTGCATGGGTACATTAGCTCGAATGTGGTTCTTCTAGACGACGATTTCGACGCTCGGGTTATCGATTACGGTTTAGGGAAGGTGGTTGGTTCTTGCGATTCGAGCGATAGCTTCGGTTTAGGGGAGTTTGGTTACGTTGCGCCGGAGTGTATGGTTGCGAGTTTGAGTGGAGATGTGTATGGGTTTGGGGTTGTGCTTCTTGAGATTGTTACGGGACAAAAACCGGTTTTGGTTAAGGATGGTGAGGATGGGTTTAATGGTGGTTTGGTGGATTGGGTGAGTAAGCATTTGAGTGATGGTAAGAGCAAAGATGCGATTGATAAAAGGTTGATTGGTAAAGGTTATGATGATGAGATCATGCAAGTTTTGAGAATCGCTTGTAGTTGTGTTGCGTCGTGGGATAAAGAGAGACCGTTGATGGTTGAAGTTTATGAATCTTTGAAGAGTTTGGGAGATGGATATGGTTTCTTGTATGAACATAGCGATGAGTTTCCACTGATCTTTAACAAACTTACTGAGTAAATGATTGTAAAGATTTTCTTACCCATTTTTTTAACCACTTATTACTTCTCTATTGTTCTGACTTTTAACCATGCTTTTTGGTTGTTTTCTTGGTGTGTTGTATAATTCTTTGTAAATCCTGTGATACTCATTAATGTTGTAACATCTAATGAAATAAGAGGAATTATTTGTGTGGAATCGTAGATCGAACTATTACGTTTTCTTGGTTGAGTAGATTAAGTCAACAAGCATAAAAATGTGTTAATTTGTTGAAATCTGTATTGCTAGAAAAAACTACATTCACAAAATGTGATTGTGAAGATCTTATAGAAAATCTTCTTCTATGGGACTTAATAACTATATACTAAAACTACCGGGCCGGATTTATAATATTTCTTAGGTGTAAGGTGATTTTATAAATAGTAAGGTAATATCGGACCATTTATGTAAATATTCATATCCTCTTTCTTTCGTCTTCGAGGTGATTTGCTTTGCTACGACGACGAAGAAGAAAACAGCAAAAATGGTTTCTCAGAAATCTTCACTTGTTTTGGCCATCTTCTTCATCTACGCTGTTTCGATTTCATCCTCGTTTCTCGCCAGAGCACATGAAGAACAGTTCGTACTTTCAATTTCCCTTCTTCTTAGATCGATCTGACTCGTTTTATTTATTTTTCCGATCCAGACTTTTTTTTTTTTTTCAAATTAACACTGAGTTTAATCAATCTCTACAGAAACGGAGACGAAGAAGAGATGAGAAGCGTGGGGCGTAGAATCCTTCTAGGTTACAAAGAAACAGCAAAAGGAAGCAACGTTACCTTCGAATGCTCTCCTTCAGGTCCTTGTGTTTCCTGCGTTTCCTCCGAAAAGGTTTCTCTAATTGTAAATTCAAATCGAATTTGCTTAATTGTTGTTGATAATCGGATCTGTATGATTTGGTCTATGTTTAATCAATGATCTATATTCGCCATTATTGTATACCTCGGCTTCCTGTTTAGCAATTAGACAGTGAATGGATTATTGGGCTCTGCTCTTTGGATTTGGATTAGGAATCTCAATAATTTAAATTTGTTCTCTCTCTGTTCTTGTGGGATGATTATTGTGTGTGTTTTTGTCAATGTAGAGAAAAGAGAAATATCGTTGCAGTGAAACTGGTTATCGAATTCCTTTCAAATGCAAAGAAGTTAGAGGAGAAGAAGCTTCACACAAGAAAAATGAGGAAGAAGAAACAAAAAATGGGGAATCTAATAACGTCGATGATGGTGACGAAGAAGTTGTTGCTTCAGAGAAACCGAGGAATCTGCTGGATGATTCGCCGGCGGTGAAAGTAAACAAGTCACAGTCTTACAAAACTTACAGAAGCTGTGTTCCATCTGCAAATGAGGAGAAAGTATCAGTTCTTGGTTTTGAGGTAAAAAAAAAACATTTTCATTTCTTCACTGATTTTTTGATGTAAAAACAAAAGACTCAATTTTGTGCTAACGTAATGGACAGGCGTTTATGTTCGGACTGTTACTGGTGAGCGGATCTGCCATATACTACAGAAAGAAACAGACAGTACCAATGCTTGGAGTCTCCTCCAATGGAAGATCACAAAGCAACTCTCGGTTTTAAAGAGATGACTCTGTTTCGGTTTGTAAAGCTTTTTTCATCTGCTCAATTCAGAAAACAGAGACTAACATTTGTCATTGTCTATTGAAAAGATGTCTTCACTAACCTTTAGAAATCTGCTATCAAGTATGGTTGCTTAGTCTTGAACATTGGTGATGAGCTCTGTTGCTACGACGAGCTATGAAGAGGTTTGTGCAAGAGACAAGTTAAAGTATGGAACATATGAGCTTCGAGCAAATGTAGTCGGAACAAACAGCCTTGAGTAGCATTGTGATGTAAGCAATGGTTTGTGAACATTGAGGAGATGATTCAATAAAATTTACATTTTGTAGTCGTATAGAGAATGAATTAACCTAATAACTATATAAGTAACATAATCGTATAAGAGATATAACAAATTTCAATAATATATTCACAAATCTTATGGACCTTATTCACAAGAAGAAAATATGTAATCGATGCTAATGTTTCAGTGAGTAAGAAACTGTTTAGAGAATACTAAAAAAGACCAATAGGCAGTGAAGTGACTATTAAGAATTGGAATTAGAATCTCATTTATATCCTGAAAATATAAGAATCTGAAGAATATACATGATTTCTTGTGAAGCAATTTATTTGATTCTCTTACATCATATATAGTCATGCTTGATTGTAAGAAAAATAAAGCTGGTTTCTGGTGAAGAAGATGAATTTCTCAGGTTTTTGGATATAGTATGGAGAAGAGGATTGTGCCGAGGTGTAATGTAATCGAAGCTCTCTTGTCTAGAGGATTGCTTGGAAGTAAAGTCCCTGCAATGTCGTCTGTTTTGGTGTGTACAGATCAGAGTTTCTTGAAAAAGTACGTGAAGAAGCACGACGATGATAAGCACCTCGTGCTTGTGTTGATGGATGTCTTCAACGGAGAGACGAGAACATAGTACGTGAGGAAGCAGGACGATGGTAACTTAATATGTAGATGGCAGAAAAATATAAATAAGAGATTTTGGCAATTAACAGTTTTCAATTGTGAGAATGAGTGAGATACAATTCTTCAAAATTCAAAATTCAAAATCACTTCACAAATAAAAGTTTAGATATCTTATTCATAAGATGAAAATAATTTAGTTAACTTTTATTTCTTTTGCAATTTTAACATAGTTTTGATCAGTACATATATTAAATTCATCATTCATCAGAGACCACAATTTCCACCTGGTCCTCCAAAAGAAAAAGATACTCCTTTAGACTTAGACAAACCCCAATATGTTAGTCTATAACACTGGTAAGAATCTGAATATTGTCTTGTTTTCTTAGTATCAAGATCAACAAATTGATAGTTCGAATTCCTAACTTTCACATGTATGAAATAAGAACTTCTTTGATAGTCGTATATCGGAAAATGCCCATTTCCCATTGGAGGACTATTTCCATCTGGAGATGCAAATGTGTTTCCTCCGAAACGTACTAAAAAAGCTCCTTTGTTTAAATGTGTAAATAATTCTTTTGGCCAATAACCAATTACTTCACCTAATACTTTTAATGCCCAATTTCCGGTAAAACCGTCCTATAACATAATGAAACACATAAAAAGACCATTAAAAAAATATCTAAAGTTTATAAACACAAAAGAATAATAAAAGTTAACCTAAAGTAAATGAAATTGAAAAGCTAAAAATGTTATAATAAGATTGAAAATGTTTTTTTTATAACTGTGGCTCATAAAACAAGTATATGAAAATTTCCAACATTATTGTCAAATAAGTTATTTATCATGTTAAACACAAACAAAAATTACCTGAAAAACTATTGGTTTGAAATATACTGATGTTTTTCCATCATAAATAGAACTTGCAGAAAATACTTGCCCAATCCAATGAAATCGAGATACAATAACAAAGCCAGGACAATTAGTATTATAACATCCAGTTCTTTTATAACCATCTGCCTGAAAATTTAAAATGAAATAGAAGATAAGCTATCATTGGTTGGCTTAACTTTTATAGTCAGTTATAGTCAGGAACAATTTCTTGATTTATCATATATAAAAAATATATAATAACAAAATGATAAATTAACTTACTGTCCAATATATCGTAAATCGTGTAGAAGTATCACCATATAATTTTGGATGTACCTAAATAAAATTATGAATATATGATGATACATGCTTAGATTTGTAAATATTAGTATTAATATTCTTTCTTGACAAATAAGAATAATAATAATAACCTCAGTGTATTTATATATCACTACTCTATAGGTTTCCATTAAATATATATGCTTAAATATAAAAATGTTCTCCATATTTGTAGTGTTATCATATAATATTCATAGGCATACATTTCTATTTAAAATTTATTTTTAAGTTTTATGTATAAAATCACATGACTATATGTATTAAATACACATTAGACTTTAAGAGTAAAATAATAACTTACTGCCCAACCAACTTCTATGCTGTTAAGTTGATCATGAGGTCCATTTTCTATCCAAATTTGACTTTTACTATACTGGTTACTTTGTACAGTTAGGTTATGAATACTTATATCAGCTTGTGCTCTTTGTAGATGTTTCCATCCAAAACAGTCTCGATTGTTGCAAACTGCATGTATAAATATAAAAATGGAGTTTTAACAAATTGTGATTATCTATAATCACAACATTAGTAAGAAGACAACAAAGTGACTCTATACAATATCATTTTTTTGTACTGCAAACTATATAATTTTTATATATTATGATATAGATAATTAAATAAAATAATGAAAAGATGAGAATAGAAAATTACATGTTGGCCAGGATACTCGAGCGTGTTGAGATGAAAGTTTTCAGTTCCATTTTGTTGTCGTAGAATTGGCACCATTCCTTTTGGACAACTTTGATATTTTTTTCATATTTATTTTCTCTATCAAAGTTTTCATCCAAATTGAAGTTTTTCTGTAATGTAACACAAAAACGAGATTAAGAAAAGAAAAAAGCATTATAAGAGTATGCTCTTACTACACTAAACTTTGTTTACTACACGCCATACTTGTATTTTATGGTGTTTCAGTAATGGATGTTGAAAAGCCGGTTGTTTATATATATGAACACAATCGAAATCCTGTAAAATACAAAAAACAAATTTATTTCAAACTACAATATCAAATGTTAAGAAATGGAAAACAAAATAAAAGTTATAGAATCTTTCTTTGTTGTTTCCTTTGACCACTTGCGTTAGAAGCAGAAAGGAAGATAGAACAAATATTAAATGTAAAACCATTGCTTTTTTTAGTTATATTTCTCCTTGACAGCAATCCGTCATATATAAACTAATTTCAGTCAACAACTAATCAATTTATTAGTAACATCATACCATAAAAAAAACTAATCAATTTATTGCTAGTCATGTTATTTCATCTTTTATGAACTCACCAAAAGTGTCAATTAAAAAAAAAAATGCCAAATTAAGAGGTAAAAAGTAAAACAAAAAACGTTATAGAAATATAGTAGTATCTTAGTATATAACTGAAAATTTTGACTAAAAGAAAAATATAATTAATTAGGATTTGAACGTTATGGTTTAGTCAACTGGATTATATTTTTGATGGTATGGTCTTAGTTAACAGATGATCCATGATTCTATTTGATTGGTTACAATCGATAACCCTTGATTTCTATGAAAACCAAAAAAACGTAAACATATGCTCGAGACTAATTAGGCTTGAAGAATCCATGAAGATGTTTTTTGCTAGGAGGAAAATTTATATTGAATCATGTCCCTGCTATTAGGACACATATGTCTCATGCTTGATTGTATTTTTTCATATAAATGATACTCCTATGTTTGTATTTTGAACTCTCCACCGTTTCTTCTTTCCATTTTCACTTACAAAAAAAATGAAAACTCTGTTAACACTTTAAATATTTCTGAAATTAAAAATAAGTAATATAACCTAGAGAATATTAATGATCAGAAAAGGTCGTTAGCAGCGCAGCCTAAACAAAAATTAGGGTTTTGACCAAAGATGGAGCACAAAGAAAAGAAGAAGCCAATAAGCAAAAGAAGAAAGACACAATCGATATCAACTTCCTCCTTTCCTCTCGATCTAACCAGAGATATACTCTCAAGGCTGCCTGAAAAATCTACTGCAAGGTTTCGTTGCGTTTCAAAGCTTTGGTCATCAATCATCACCGATCCGAATTTCATCACCTTGTTAGAAACTCGGCGCCCACGGCCGACTCTTCTACTCTGCCTAAAAAAAGATGACGAGTTGTTTGCCTTCTCAGTTCCGCAACATACTCAGAATTCCAACACGACTTACTCTTCTTCTCTGCCTATTGATATTTACCATACGAAACTCCCTGGAGAATATAGTTACTTGTCCCCTACGGAATCTGTCCATGGTTTGATATGCTTTCAAGAATCACAAAACCCAATATTTATGATATGGAACCCTAGCATGAGAAGTATTGTGACCTTACTCAATGCCAATACCCATAAGAGCTGGAAAAAAGTAGCAGTGTTTTTAGGTTACGATCCCATCGAAGGCAAACACAAGGTTATGTGCATTCGCTATAAAAAAACTAACTACGTATGCCGAGTTTTAACGTTGGGATCGGCTCAAGAATCATGGAGAACGGTCAGGACAAATCATAAGCATAGTGCTGGCTATCAAACTTACGGGCGATGCATCAATGGGGTAATATATTATCTAGCTGATCATGAAAACACGTTTGAGTTTGTTTTGATGAGCTTTGATGTAAGATCTGAAAAGTTTGGTATGATAAAACTACGATCGGATATGCATGTATCGGATATTCGTGAGGATGTGCTGATAACTTATGAGGGGAGTATAGCTTGTGCTGATGAAGACAATCATAAAAGATTGTGGATTTTGGAGGATGCAGAGAAACACAACTGGTCGAGTCAAGACTTTCTTGTGCCTTTACGTCACCGTGATAAGAGTTTGAAAGCCAAATTCAATCTATTAGGTTTCACTCATGCTGGTGAGTTTGTTTACGTACCAACCAAGTTTCGTGAATCTAGATATATTTTATTTTGTGATCCGGTGAGAAACAGCTGTAGAAGGTTCGAGTTTAAAGGAGTCAAACACGATGGAGTTGGAAAAACACATCTGTATGGTTTCCCGAATCACATTGAGAGTCAAATGTCTTTGTAACAATTTGTTGCTTCTTTCATTTTTGTTTTTTTTTGTTTTCTTTCTTCACTTATGCAACGTTATGATATTTGTTTTTTCCTATTAATTTGTCATTCGTTTACTTTGATTCTATCTAGTTATTTGCAATTTGTCATTCTCATTCTTCAAGCAAAGTTACATCTTGTAATGCCAGAAGGAAACCAATGACAATGAGCCAGTAGTTAGTAACAAAACTCAAACACACATAAATAGAGAGCCGAAGGATATGGAAAATCCAATAGACGGAAGTGGACACCACGTTTAAGTCGTTAACTATGGAGCTTGTGTAGAATATTTATTTTTTACTAATGTATTAGATTTATAATGAATATGTAATTGCCATGTTTTGGTTACTTCGACTAGAAGCTATTGAGTAACACAAAGGCATAAGATTCTCAGGACAAATATACAATTACTCTTTTATGAAAGGTAAATTTGTTTTGAAGTGGGATTCATCTACAATGGTTATAAAGTTGATTGATGAGATGAATTATATGTACCATATGCGTCATGGCCCTATATCTATATTATACCATGGGATAAATTATGGCTGCTATGTGACAGTGAGATATAAATATATTCCCAAGGAACAATTTTTAATCGTGGGTCTAGTCAATCTTGTCATTCTCATCTTTATTTCCGCAAACTTTAAGATATGCATAGTTCTTAAAATAAATAAATAAAGAATGCTTAAGGTGATTAACGCATATATGTTTGGCTAGTGTAAGATATTGCTAATTTTTCGACAGCTCAAAAAAAAATTATTCGATGTTTTGCATAGGTGAACTCTTATTAGTGAAGTTTATGTTGGTGTCTTAAGTCCGAAAAATACGCAGCAGAGAATCATGTTGTTTCTGATATCATATTATATTATAAATAGTACTAGATACATAATAGATATGGTGAGGAATACACATAAGCTTCAACAGAACTAGGTAGATACCATATGATATCTTATTGATGTGCAAACTTTAATGCACACATTCGTATACAATTATTGTTATATTTATATATATATATATATATATATATATATATATATATATATATATATACAATACTTCTTAGATGTTTATAAATTTTATAATACAAATTAATTTGGGTATGCATGGCATAGTTATGTGCTTAGCTTTACCTTTTGGATACGAAAGGGATGAAATGTACGTGAGAAAAGTACAAGGGAAACTCCTTGGCACGTGCAATATCATATGAGTTGTATATTAATTTTAGTTATTAAGTACATAAAACTGCATGAAATTGAAAATACACGAAAAGAAAAAACTCAATTATTTAAATTCGTTTCCGGACCTTCTCATGTACATAAAGCAAAGGCTGCATAAATAAATTCCCTCCATGTCACGTTTCAAACCAGCTGTTCTACTTCTACATATCATTCTCTCTCTTTTTCTCATTTCGTTTGTTATTTTTTCTATATAATATCAGGGCATTTCATATTTTCATTTAATGGGTATATATTTTAGATTATTGGGACAAAAAGAGACGACATAAGAATACGGATTCATGCTTAAAAGATAACATTATATATATCTCACAGAAATATATAAAGATTCATAGCAGAAATTGTTTTTCTCTCTCTACCCTAATGTTTAGAGTAAAAGTTTGCAACCATTTTAACCAGAATAAAAACCATCGAACCTATAAAGAACGCCAACCATCCTAGCTCATGAAAGTGATAAGCCTCTCATTCTCTTTCTCTCTCTTGTTCTCTTGCTTTTGTTCTCACTCTCCTTTGTTCTTTATCACAGTTTGAAAAAGAAAACCGAATAAAAACCCTACTTCCATCGATGTTAGTTTCTGTTTTTATTTCAACCAGCCAACGGAGATAGGATAAAAAAAAAATCCAACCCACAAGGCTTTAAACCATGCGAAATCTCCGATTGTTGCTTCGTACACTATTTACGGTCGGTTTAGTCACTCTTCTAATGATCGATGCGTTTGTATTACAAAACAACAACGAGGCCGACAAAACAAAAGAGATTGCTATAGCTGAGACTACGAACAACTCCATTATACACGCTAAGGAAATACAAGAACAGCTTGAAGATGGATCAAGACATGGCGATCTTAGTTACGTAGCCAGCAACAGAAAAGTGCCTCGTGGACCCGATCCTATACACAACAGGTTCTTTACCGATTTCTTGTTTTACTTATCACTTTCAATTAACACATCCTTACGCCTACAAATATGTATTTTGCATGGTTCTTTATGTTCTTCTTTTCTTTCAGCAATATATGGTCTTGTGATAAATCCGATGTTGTGATGGATATCAAATATTCAGAAGAAAGCTAACTTGGTTATAAATCTATATGCATATTAATTATATTTTTGTTTTTCGTCCACCATGTATTTACTTCTAGGACAATTTTACTATAAAAATAAAGACTTAGCTTCTTATAACTAACTCAGATTCGGTGAGACACATCACAGAGGCTCACAAAAGGCTGTCTGCTAGCTTTATTCAGTCTATATACGTTAACAATCTTGTTTTTAACTACTCATTATAAGATGGCTTTTTTAAAAAAACTTTATTTTTCCTTTATGGAAGCTTTAGCCCTTTTAATACTCTCTTTTCCTCGATCTCTTTTTTCACCTTATTTCTTAGTTATCTAGAGAAACCGCTTAAGATCTCAATTGATTATTTGGAAAATAGTTATTTGCATTCCATGTATATAAAACATTAAGGATTTAGTAATTCAGTTGTTTCTCGATTTTTAAAAATTAAATCTATGTTGTGTCTTACTATAGGAGAGCAGGGAACTCAAGACGACCACCGGGAAGAGCATAAGTACGGTGAAAGCTTGAGGACGAAGCAGAAGGAGAAGCATTTGTTGGCAAATAGGTCCTGTAATGCTGCTAGATTCTCTTTTCCTTTCATTTGGGATCGAATCTTTTATATATGCTCAATATATTTGTGACCCTACACTTCTATTTTTGTAATGTTCTTTTTTCCTAGCAAAGAAATCTCGAGCTTAGTTAGAGGAAGCAAAAACAATGAATACACTAATATCTTTATAATTAGAAACAAATTATCTAATTCTAAAAAAGGATCTCAAGGTAATAGAAAAGAGGTATAGGCAAATGCAATCCTGTTTCTCTTACTGCACAACTTATTTTGAAGTATTTCTATATCATATATTAGTTGTTTAGATTGTCTATTTCTTATATTGGCAACACACTATTAAACATGATATCGCTTTATTAAGTTAGATAAAGCGCGCAAAAACTATTTAGTTATATATTAAATTTGCCACCACATCATTTTTGAAAAATAAGTGCTAAGATTAGAGTATTTATCTAGTTAGCCCTTATAAAATACTCTCACACAAATTACATGTTTATCTATTTATCACATATGCACAACAAAAGATGAAGATATTGATTTATGTGTAAAGAACATTTGTACTTTGAAAGAGTTGTATCTAATCATTTAGAAAATATCTCAAATCCATTATTGATGTATTCTGAAAGCATATATTCTTGCAAAGATGAAAAATAATAGAGATATAGACAAATATTGGATTATGAGATATTCATAATTTATAAATGCATTGGAATATATATACATATAAAATAACAATAAGCTCAAAATGCTGAAATCTAAGAGGAGAATGTGTGTAATGGTTCTTCTACATAAAGGAGACCACATTGCTTCTTTGTGTTATGCTTTTTCCCATCTTTGATTCTTTTGTTCTTTTGTGGGGTTAACTCCACCACTACTCTCTCTCTATCTCTGTCTTTTTTTTGCTTTGTATCTTTTGCATCCATTTCTAAATCAATTTTTCACTAATCTTGACGCATAAAAAACTAATAAACTTCACTTATTAAGTTACTACATCACCAACATCACAACATATATATGAAAAAGAGTTAGCCGTGATAATCCGATTCATCGTCGTATATGTTTACTTATGAGTTATATATGACGACGTATGAGATGAGATGGTTCATGAAAGAAAAAATATTGGCAAATTCATCTCCTTAAAGGTTATTAGACACATCCACATTTGGTTTTACAATTATTATATACAAATGTCCTCTTCTATGGTAACACGAGTTCCTAATAAGACCATCTCCAACCCCTCATGCCATATGTTATTGCAAATGGCAAAAATATAGCAATAGCATTGGGTTTCTCTCCAACCCCTCATGCCATATATCATGCTATAATTTTTTTCCAACTTATTATTAATTGTTAAAACTACTTGATTTCTTCAAATTTTACAAAGTGAATCATTTGTTTTTCTTTTTTTGCAAAAACAACCAGAATTATTATTTTTTTATTATAATATTAAAACAAAATACATCATATTACATAAAAATTATAGAAAACAAAGATTTTAACCTATTGTTTTATGTTTTTTGAATTTCAGTATTTTTAAAAATAAAATTTGAAGTTTATTATGGTTATGTTTTTATATTTCTATGAAATAAATATTATTTATATTTTGAAAAAGTTATGAGTATTGTTTATTTATTTAAATAAATCATAATCAATATAATTAAACTGTTAAATTAAAAGTAATTACAAATTGAAGGACTATTTTATAAATAAAAAAGTTCAATGGCAAAATAGCATATTGCATAATCTCATGCCAAATATAGAAGCAAAAATAGCATGATGCTATTTTGCAATAGCATATGCAATTGGGTTGGAGCAAAAATTATGGCAAAATAGCATATATGTCATATTTAGCATGGGTTGGAGATGCTCTAAGTATCTCTCCTGAACACATGCATATGGCAAAGCAAAATCTCATTAGTTTTTACTTCTTTTAAAAAAATAAAATAAATAAGCACATCCTCTATATGTTCATTTAAAATGTTAGTTTAAACACGCAACGATTTCTTTTTATAAAGTCTAAAAATGTTAAGAGTTTGAATATCTTTAATTTGAATTATTATCAAACGCATTATACATACTTAACAGAGACATAATAATCAATCAGCTTTTTTCGGTCTCTGTTTTTATGTTTGTTTTCCTTCCAGTCGTCGAGAATCAAAAGTAACTAAAGAGTACCAGTCTAAAGCTGTAGCATTCAAAACTATATATGTGACGGCTCCTCTCAATCTAGATAATTTAATTAAACAATTATTTATTCATAAGTTAGTCCAAAGACAACAAATAAAGCGAGAATAATTTGCTCCACAAGATCTTCAACTTTTATTAGTAAGACCAAAAATCTTCATGTTCCTGTGTGAAAATAATTAAAGTGCTGGTTTATCAGTTACAGAAAAACGAAATGAATTTTTATCAGTTGTGACCGTCCTTTTTATTGAAAAAAAGTGTTCTAGCTACTTGATTTTCATACATTGTTAACCAAATAAAATCACTTGTGGTAGAGATAATATACAACAAGTTTTTTTTTCCTTTTTTGATGTGAAAGATATACACCAAGTTTAAAACGCTAAAACTAAAACCACAAATAAATAATAAGTTGAAAGTCCTGGTCGAATTAGATAACATATTTAGGAAAAATGAAGATACTATTTCCGTTTACTCAAAAATGAAGATATTGTTTCTTTGACATAAAAGATATAACAAAACAAAAGAAAACTGGTTATCCTTTCCATTTTATTGGGCCGAATTTTATCAGGCTCAACTTCAAGAAATCCAGATGCAATAACTAATGAGCCCAAGTATGGCTAAGTTTGTTACTTGTCGCGCCAAAAAAACGATACCACGTGTCAGTCCCCCACAATGGACTTTGACCCGGTGCGGCTGCCGGAAAGATGAAATAGAAAACATTTATCGGCTTTATTAAATTCCGACGAGTTTTATATTAAAAAGATTATAGAGAGAAAATAAATAAAAACAATTTATGTAACAAATTCATCAACGACAAGAAAACAAATGCAAAGTTCCAACGAAATCGAAATTCGCATTTGCTGCTTCTTGTTCTTCCTCGTATCTCTCTTCCTTCATCTCTCTTCAACCGTGAATCAAATTCATGGAGAAATAAAGCTTTTTGAGTGATGGTAGATAGTTTGAAAAATCCAGAGAACATCCGGATCTAATATCAAGAGAATCCGGATTGTAAGTTTTGATAGATCGGAGAAGGATCTGGGTGAAGTGAGAAGATGCCGGAGACCGGAGACATCGATCGTCAGATCGAGCAGCTAATGGAGTGTAAAGCGCTATCCGAAGCGGAGGTGAAGACTCTGTGTGAGCACGCGAGGGCGATTCTGGTGGAGGAGTGGAATGTTCAGCCGGTCAAGTGTCCGGTCACCGTCTGCGGCGATATCCACGGCCAATTTTACGACCTCCTCGAGCTTTTTCGGATCGACGGTTCCTCGCCTGACACCAATTACCTTTTCATGGGCGATTATGTAGGTCCGTCTCTATCACTCGCTTCTACATTTCCCAATTTTTTCTCATAATTTGTAAGATCTCTTAGATTTGATGGCTTTTGATTCGACCTTTTTGTTGACTTTTTGGGCTGATGTAGATTGTTGTAGCTTCACTCATTTGCACAGGGTAGATTATTGTTTTGGCTATCCAAAAGCGCTAAGATTGTTGATTCTGGTTTTGACTTGATACATTGTTATTGATGAAGATTTTGCAAATAGAAAAGACCATTCTTTTCTTATTTCGCTGCTAAGTAGAAACTACAGAATGAAGTAACTTGAGCTTTGGAGATATTAACATTCTATGTGCTTTGAGAAGTAGTTTTGTATCTCTTTTCTCTGTTAAGTGGCTTAAGTAGCTAACTAAGATAATTGTTGAACTTGTGAAGATCGAGGGTACTATTCAGTGGAGACAGTCTCGCTCTTGGTAGCTCTGAAAGTTCGATACAGAGATAGACTTACAATCCTAAAAGGGAATCACGAAAGCAGGCAAATTACTCAAGTGTAAGTTTCTGTAATCTCAGCTTCTATGGATAAAAAAGCATCAAGAACTAGCCGAATTCTTGTTTTGATTTGGTTGGTTATTTTTGCATCTTCAGGTTTGATTTTATGATGAATGTTTAAGGAAATATGGGAATGCTAATGTCTGGAAGCATTTCACTGACCTTTTTGATTATCTTCCTCTCACAGCTCTCATCGAGAGTCAGGTATGTATATAACACTAATGAGCTTTTCACATACCTTAAACAGTCTCTTATCTTGCTTCAACTGTTTTTGATTTGACTACTTTCATGTAGGTGTTCTGTTTACATGGAGGACTCTCACCTTCTTTAGATACACTTGACAACATCAGATCTTTAGATCGAATTCAAGAAGTAAGTTCAAAAATCCCTATACAAACTCTACATTAGATACTGAGACTAAAAATCTTTGCGTTGTTGTTGTTGTTGTTTAGGTTCCACATGAAGGACCAATGGTATGATCTCCTATGGTCAGATCCAGACGATCGATGCGGCTGGGGAATATCACCACGCGGTGCAGGCTACACTTTTGGCCAAGACATCGCTACACAGTTTAACCACACCAATGGACTCACGCTGATCTCAAGAGCGCACCAGCTTTTCATAGAAGGTTTCAACTGGTGCCAAGAGAAGAACGTTGTGACTGTGTTCAGTGCACCGAATTACTAGTACCGATGCGGCAACATGGCTGCGATTTCTAGAGATCGACGAGAACATGGACCAGAACTTCCTCCAGTTCGATCCAGCTCCACGTCAAGTCGAACCTGAAACCACACGCAAGACTCCAGATTATTTATTGTAAGTAACCCAAGAACAAAAACAAACAAAAATTTACAGTTCTTCACTCTTTCTTCTCTTTTGCTTCGTTTAAACTCTCCATTATCTTGTTGTTTTGTTTATCTTTTAATTTAACTTAAATGAGAGTTACAAAGATTCTACTTCTCTATCACCAAACCAAACTCTGTACAGAGAAATGAAGACAAAGGTAGAAGAAGAAAACAAACTGTTGTGGAGAGTTACATATATATTAAACAAACAAGCTCTAGGAGGAGCTGAGATCGATTCAAGAGCTTTCAAGCTCGCTTTTGATCCAATCTTGAGCACACATCAACGCCTGCACGGTGCTCGGTCTAAGCGAACACCATGTCTCGCTAACCCGTCTCCTCCTAGCCATCTTGAAGGCGTCTTCCTCCGGCAATACATTCAACATCGGAATTGCTAACACGTTTCTTGCCATCATCGACAGAACAGGGTACCTCGGCGTGTGAACTTTCCACCAGTTGAGTACGTCGAAATACGAATTCCGGGGGAAAAGCGGCTCCTCTAGATACTTCTCCAGCTCCGACTTGGAATCTTCACCAGTTGGTGTAGTGGTGACCTATCAAACTGTATGAGTCTATCTTCAGACTCTTTCCCATTGACATCACCGTTTGACTGATGATGATGGTGATGATCATGATTCTCCTGCCAGTCTGATGAAGATAACAACAATCCAACAGAATGCTCGTTGTACAGAGCTTTAACACACTCAGAGATGTCTTCTATAAGCTCTGAAGCACTAGAGTCATAGAACAACGTGTAATAGTACTCCACAAGCTTCATCTTGAACCTTGGGTCTAATATAGTAGCAATGGCTAAAACCAGGTTGTTCTTATCCCAAAACTCGTCGAATCTCTTCCTCATGTTCACAGCCAGAGAGCTAACGAACTCATCCTGGTTCTTGCTCCATTCGATTAACCGGAGATGCACGTCGCATAGCTCCGGGAAGTACATGTTCGCTGATAAGAAATGGCTCCTTGTGAACGCGTTGATCACTTCAACAAACACTCTCAAGAACCCAACAACCGTTGCTAATCTCTCCCATTCCAAATCAGACACGGATTCAAGATCATCATTCTTTCGCTCTAATGCAGTCTCCAGCATGGCACAAGTCGTGTCCCATCGTGTTGGATCATCGACGTTCACAAACCGGATCTTCTCTATCGTCTCGCCACAATCTTGCAAGCAATCTTGAGTCATCTGGTTCACGACACTCACTCCACAACTCACATCAAACAACTGTCCATTACAGTACAAGAACTTGTTCTGCGACAACCTGTCTCTGATCTTGTTCGCCACGTCTTCACCAAACGAAGGAGCGTGACTCGACGCCATGGCGAAAAGCTTCCGGTCAATATCCCACTCCATCAAACACGTCATCACAACCTCAGCGAGCGTCTCACCAGACTCATCAACCATGAAGAAGTTTAACACTCTCTTCTTTACCTCCCAAGTTTCATCGATGTAATGCGCCGTCAAACACAAGAACTCATCATCAGAACCGGAACCGGTCCACACGTCGACGCTGATGCTGATCTTTCCAGGTAACTTATCCAAATCCTCGAAGATCTTGTGCTTCTCTTTAGCGCAAATCTCCATACAATCAGACTCAACTCTCTCAAACGCGACGAGCTCGAACAAAGGCTCTAGATTTCTGACAAACGCTCTGAATCCAACGTCTTCCACAATGGTTAACGGATAACCGTGCAAGATTATCATCCTCGCTAGATCGAACCGGCTCCGTCTCTGATCCAAACCGGCATTCACAACAACATCATGTTCGTATCTAACATTCACTACGCTAAGAGCTTCTTCGTTTTTCCTCTGCTCATCGAATCTTTCTTCTTTCTTCTTTCCTCTGACTGAACAATGTGCAAGAACACCACCGTTTCTTCTCCTGCATCTAATCAAATGGTTCCTCAGATGAGAAGTCCCGCTCGAGCTCGATCCGCTGAGCCGTTTCTTGCAGTGCCTGCAGATTGCGATGTGCGTCTCTCCTTTTCTCACTCTGTCGAAATCGTTCCACACTGCTGATTTTAGTTTTCCTGATTTTACAATCACTTCATCTGATAAATCCATCTCATTGATTATCATCAGCTTCTTCTATCGTCTCCTACATAAAAAGAAAGAAGAAAGCTAATCACTAAAAACAGAGGAAACAATGTACAGCGCTCATCAACACAATCAGAAGAAGGGAAGCAGTAAATTCAAAAAATCAAAACTTTCATAGAATTTACTTGAAGGATTTTCTTAAAAATCAAAACTTTCACAGAATTAACTTGAAAGGAAGCAGTAAAAATCAAGACTTAATGTGCCTAGAATACCTAAAAATCTCAAACATTTTAATCAAATTATCTAAGGAAGTGAAATGTAGAAATTACCGCGGCGGAAGAAACAAGAATCTGAGCTCAAAAGACGCATTCACTTCTTCATTCAAGTCTCGCCGGAGAAAACTACTCTCAGAGGTGGATTAACGGCGGCGAATTATCTTGGTGTCGGTGTCGGTGTCGCGGCGGTAGGGTTTTAGTGGAAAGATATTTCATTTTGAAACGGCGAGACAAATTCGTCACCTTATGTGCTCTGCAAAAAAAAGAATTTGCAAAACGGTACCTTAACTTTATGTAAAGTTTCAAATGTATCACAAGTTTATGTTATCGCAAAAAGGTTCATTTTGATTACTAAAATTACAATCACTCACTGAAATTTTTTGTTTCTTCTTAGCTTTTGTCGCCAATGGCTTTAGCTCAAACCTTATCAACATCATCATCATCGCTAGATTTCATCAATGCCTCACACAGATTCGTCTCTGCAACTCCTTTCTCTTATGAATCCATCTTCCTCCGCCGTAGAATCCGCCGCTTGAATCTCCCATTCGCTTCGTACCGTAGCTCTCAGGTACTTCTGATTAAATCTCCGAGTCATCGATTTCGTGAAAATCCAAAATTTGAAATTTCAATCTCTTTATACTTAGCCGCGTAGGAGATATGATTCCGACGATCGATTCTCTGGCGGTTACGAATACGACGTCGTTCCCGAGGATGACGACGACGAAGAAGATGATGAGAGAGAGAGCAGCGTCGATCTTCTGATCAGATTCTTAAGAAGCATGTTTAAGAAAGTCTCGAAGCGAGCTAAAAAGGCCTCTCGCCGGATTTTACCCGCCGCCATGTCTCCTCGTCTCGTGAGTCTTCTTTTTCTTCAATTTTGAGGAAAATTTCGTCTTTTTTTTTGGCTTGTAATGATTTGTGCTCTGTTTTTTTTTCTTGTGATCCTGAAAAATGAATTTGCAGGTGTTTTTTGCAGTAGATGGGATATTGCTATTGGGTTCACTTTCCATAACAAGAGCATTTCTTGAGGTTTCTTTTTACCATTTTCGCTTTACTCGATTCAGTCGTTATTGTATAATATATGGTTAGATTCTCTATTGTTTGATCGGTGTTAGAAGAGAAATTAACACATTTCCCTGAGCCCGTCACAATTAGTAATAATAGCAAAGCCCAGCCCGTCTTTATCATTAACCTCCTCAAATAAATGAAAAGTCTTGAGGAGAAAGGCAAATCTTTGGGAAAAAAAAAGTAAAGAGAGATATATGCCAATTTGAAGAATGGAAATAAATCAAGGACAAGAGGAAGTTTTTCAATTGGAGAAAAGGAAGAATATCTTGAAAAAGCCAACCTCCTCTCCATATAAATAGAAGACCCCCTATTCCTTGAAGACCATCCAGAAATCCTCTGCAAACACCTAGAGCAATTGCTACTCTTTTCTCCTTTGTTCTCTTTATTTTCGTATTCCGTCTCATCGAGACCCCCTCTTTATAATTGCATACTTCACCTCGCCAAGCCTATTTGGCGAGAGCACCATCCTTGTAGTCCTTTGATATTTCTTCAAGTGAAAGTTCTCAGTTCCCAAAAAACTCATTCCCAAAAAACTCAATCTTTGATACCCGCTCTTAAGTGTGCTATCTCAGATCTAATAATCGGTTTTGTGGTTCACTTGTTGCAACTAGTTGATCAGAGAGCTAGACATATTGTGTTAGTTCACAGGATTGTATGTTTGGTCTGAATCGTTGTACCATTTAAGCTAATTTGTAATCAGAATGAAATGTTTTAAGGATTAGAGAAAACTGAGAAAGACACAGTGAAATGGAAGACATTTTGAACAAGTTGTTTATGAACGTTGTTGTGAATAATTTAAACGGTTGTGATGATAAGAAGCTATATTTTGTGAATTATGCTTATGTGTGATTTGATTGTGAACGTTGTTGTTGATTTTTTTTCTTGCAGGTAATTTGCAATCTAGGAGGACTAGTGTTTACAGTGATTCTGATGATCCGATTGTTTTGGGCGGGAGCTTCGTTTTTTCAGAATAATGGGAACTATTTTGGACCAAACCCGTTGACTTAAACTTGGTTTTTACTCTTATCATTTATGGATTTTAGATGTTTTTTTTTTTTGTATTGATGTTTTTTGGCCTCGAGTTGTAGATGAAAATGTAAGATAAAATTTGTACATATCGCTGGCAAGTTAAGTAATTTCAGGATTATAGCTCCTGAAAATCTAAAGATAAAACGAAGAGTTTTAGCAGACCAATGACTAAACTACATTGTTGTAAATGCTCCATTTAGAATTTAGTTGATGGTTGTTGGTTGTGTGTAATGATATGCAAATTGATTTGCATCCACGAGATCAACAAGCACATTGATTTGATATGCAAATTGTTGTAAATGCTTCATTTAAAATTTAATTGATGGTTAGTGGTTGTGAATAGAGATGTGCAAATTGATCATATGACTTAACGTCAACGTGCCTGAGGTCGACAAGCTTGTCGTGTTTTGTAAGAAGAGACGGATACGTCCACTGTCCACGAAAGCTATTGGCACACTCATTTAATACAGAAGTCAAACGTTAAGTTCTTTCACACTATGGGTGGTCACTCTAGTTGTAGTACCAGCTTGTATGGTTGTGGCTGGGACCGCTTGTGGCCATACGACACCACACCACACTCAAGGGCCCTATGAGTCGTCGTCACTACATCTTTGACTTTCATTCTTACCCTGTACGCAATTTATACAGATTAAAAACATGTTATCTTGCATAACGCGGATTCTATATTTATCATGTGTTATAATGCGGACGTAAATTGATGTGTAAATTTAACATTGAATTAAAGTGTTATATGACTCTTAAAAAAAAGGAAATACAGTCTTTTAAAGTTTTGAGTTAATTGAAGGATTTATTAAAAACTGAACGTGAATTTTATAAGCACGAGTAAAACCATGTTTAAAAATGTGAAAACATTCAGACCAATCACTCATGGCTATTTAGCCTAATTATATCTATTCGAGAAGGCATTTTGGATGTCCTATAGAAATTTTGTGAACTCCCGATGTTAAAGATTATGTGACATTGGAGAGTAAATGAAATTACATACACTCAATTAATGACCATCGGAATATATGGAGTTTACCAGTGTGATATATTTTTCGAAAACATTCTATTTAGGTCAATCTTTTTTGTTTGTGTTATACAAGTTATTTTCTTGGACAACATAAGCATAAGTGTATAACCAATGTATATGCCTTGTATTATTGTTTTGTGGATTGTTTATAGTTTTCTTAATGAGAAAGATTGATTTGTTTTTAATATACTCCCTCTGTTTCACAATATAAGGGGTTTTAGAGTTTTTCTTTTGTTTCATAATATAAGGGGTTTTCAAATTTTTGTGCAAAATTAAATGTGCTTTTGTTACTTTTGATTATTTATATTGTACAGAATACTTTTTCATTGGTTGGAATGTTTTGAAATTGATGAGCAAATATATTTTATTATAAAAAGTACACAAATTAAATGGACTCTTAATCTTTGTGCAAAAACTAAAACCCCTTATAGAATGAAACAGATGGAGTATATAGTTACTAGTACCATCTTTGTGGAAAATATTAAAAGTAGCAGTACACTATAGACCAAGAAATTTCAAACAATGTTCATTCCGTCAAACACTCGACTAATTAACTAATTATTACCCTCCAAATTTGTACTAAATTTCGTAACAACTCTAACTTACGTATACATTTTTTGTTAAAGGAACTTACGTATACATGCGACTCTATGGATTACATCTACGAATATGAAGTTTACAACAACGTCAAAAAAACAAGAATATAATTTTACAAAAAAAGAACATCCTAAATTATATTTTGAACAATGAGTCAATGACCACATCTACAGTTTCATTTTGGCCATTAAATAAATACATTTTGGGTTAATCATATTGAATTGTGAAAGCTAACTTTTATTTGAATCTGAGCATATATAATCTTATTCCAAAGCCTATTTTGTTTCTGCTCGACGTAGCTTGACGTACAAGTTTTGTTTTATTACAGAAAAGAAATTTGCAACCAGGGAAATTCCGAAAAGCATCTTTAGGTTACGGTCCCAACTCAAATTAAGACGTGGAACATTACGTATAGATTTGTAATCATTTACCATTGACTGCTAATAGATATATACACATTAATGAAACGGAAAAGATGAACTTTCGACTTAATTTCAGTATTTCACTATAAGTTAAAACCCTAGACTGACATTTTGTTACTTAAATAGTCAGCTCAAGACATATGGAAATATAAAGAGAGAAGAAAAAAAGAAGCAAGACTTATCCATTATACATTTAATGTGGTAAGTCAATATTTTGCATTGAAAAGTAAATAGTTTTGAGTTTTTAAGAATGCATGCATCAATTAATGCTGTCATTTATCAAAAAGCTGTCAAATATTCTAATAAGAAGACGTGGACTAATATATCTTGAGTCTTGACCCAGTCGTTGGTTAATATGAACACGAACCAGGCAAGTGAGTGTGTGTGTGTGTGTGTGTGTGTCGTATATTGTAGACTTAGCACATAGTTTGTTTCCAAAGGATCTAGTAATTAAAGGCTCAATCGATCGCTAAGTTTTGTAAAGTTCACAAAAAATTTCGCTTGGTTTTCAACAAATACATTTTAATTAGCACAGTGTTCTTCATAGTTGTTTCGTTTGATTTTCAACAATTTCGCTTGATAGTCAGATACTCCCTCCGTTTCAAATTAGTTGTGGATTTGGTAAAATGTATTTGCAAATATTTGGACGTATATGGACGTGTTTTGTATTGCATATACATCAAAATAATTGCAGATACATTTTTCTAAAACGACAACTAATTTGAAACGAGGGAGTATTGATTAAAGAAACAAAATTCTAAGTTATATGTTGAATGGAGTAAAAATTGGATTTTAAAAAAGTTATAATTACATGTGAAGAATATGAATTTATTAGTAGAATGACTCGAATCTTTTATATAGTTTTGGTCTCTTGACTCTTACTTTTTTTTTTGCTGACACATTCCTCATTCCAGATAATGACTTTCCGGCTCATTCATCTTGGACTATATCACAATTTGATTTGATTTGATTTTATTTTATTATGAATACCGGTTTGACTTATTAGGCTTTGATAATTGATACTAATTTACAAAGAGATTTTGTTTTTAGGATGAACTAGTGATATTATAATGAGAATACCAGAAAACTATTTATTTCGAATCCTTTAATTTATGCAAAATTCTAAAACGAGATACCAACTGACGTTTTTGAAGTATACCATAAGAAACGTGTCGGTTTTATTTGAACACTTAATCATACATCTATTTGAGATAAAAAAAAAGTAATGGAATACAATTCCACAAAAACTAAATTTTCTTACTAAAATTATTATTTTTATTTCTCATGAATAAGTGGACTAAGATTTTTTCTTCATTATTTCTTTTCCACTAATTCTTATAGTGATAACAATTTGCACCCTTATTAGTGGATCTTTCCAATTATCCAGAGGACGAAAAAAACACAAGTTTTCCAACTAAATAGCAAGAAAAAATAAATAAAGAAAGAAAAGAGAGATTAAAATACATCCTGCAACTGTTGTAGGTCCTACTGTTTAGCAACGGTATAGATAGGCAACTGAACCGGACTCATCACACTTTCCTGGACACTCTCTTGTCTCGTTGAATCTCCTCCTACCGACCCCATAAATAACATTTTATTATTCATTTTTGAATCTTAATTCTTATCTTTATTATTATGAGGCACATGATTACCGAAGCTTTTTTTGACCGACATGCGTGCCGAAATTTAAGAAAATCAAATCAAATATGGGCACGTCCATATATATATAGACGCCCCAAACGCAGAGACCAAACCTCATCAAACCACAGCTGATCAATCAAAAAAGAAAAACCCTTAAACTAAAAAAAAAAAAAACAGCTGAGTTTGATCAATCTCGTATTTTCAGAAACGAAAAAAAAGTATAAAATGGGTCATCAAGCGAATGGTTCGAACAATGATGAGTACGTAAGGCTATTAGGAGCGTGGCCTAGTCCTTTCGTGCTGAGAACTCGTATCGCACTTAACCTAAAGCATGTACCGTACGAGTATCTTGAAGAAGAAGATAGTTTGAATTCGGAGAGCGTGATAAACTACAACCCCGTCCATAAACAGATACCAATACTCATCCATGGCAACAAACCAATCCGTGAATCACTCAACATCGTCATGTATGTCGATGAAACTTGGCTCTCCGGTCCTCCCATCCTTCCCTCTGACCCCTTTGATCGTGCCGTCGCTCGCTTTTGGGACGTTTACATCGATGAACACGTAAGTCATTATTCATGGGATATTCTTTAACGTTTCATATTTGTCTCTTCTTTTCTTGGTCGAATAACGTTTTATTTTTGTCTAAGTACTCGTTTTTTTGTTTAATACAAATAGTAAAATGAGTACCATCTTCGTTTGCATGACCACTTGCACACTCAACTAAACACGTTTGTACGTTTGTTTTGAGGGACATAGATTGTATGTTTGTATATTTAGAGATGTAGAGTAAGATCCAGTCTGAGATAATAAAAAAAACAATCATTATTTAGAGGAGGCATTTAAAAACAAAAATATTGATAATTATTTCTTTGAGTTGGAAGTTTGAGTAATATCCAATTGTTAGAATTTTGTAGTAATTTGCATAAATCATAAATTAATCAATTTATCTTTCTTGTTCTTATAATATAGTGTTTCACATCAATCAATGGAGTGGCAGTAGCAAAAACCGAAGAGGAAAGAAAGGAGGCTATAGCGAAGCTAGAGCAGTGTATGGGTCTATTGGAAGAAACGTTTCAAGAATGCAGCAAAGGAAGAGGCTTCTTTGGAGGAGACAACATTGGATTCATTGATATCGGTTTCGGATCGATGTTGGGTCCTATTAAGGTTCTTGAGAAATTTACTGGCGTCAAGTTCATACATCCAGAGAACACACCAGGTCTTTTCCATTGGGTTGATAGATTTTACGCACATGAAGCAGTCAAACCTGTCATGCCCGATATTGGAAAGCTCGTTCAGTTCGCAAGGCTCAAGTTCAATAGTTCAATCTTTAAATGAAAAAAACCAAGATGGACAAATTATAACATATCGAGATCGAGTAATAAGATGTAGATCACTCTATATATTCATCAAAAGGCGGAGTCAAAATGTTCTTTTGTTTTTTTTGTCTTTTCTCCTTGTTACATTTTATATGTATGTAGGAATAGTCGATTGTAATCAACACGTTAAAAACGTTCTGTTCTTCTTCGGTGGTTAAAATTAACTTTTCCGATGAAATCCATTGACAGTGAGTGAAGCTTCGCCGCATTTCATCAATTGGAGAAAACACCACCACAAACCTCATAAATACACATAGCTAGTGCCTAGTGGTGACATGCATGATGATGAAAACAATAAATATATTGACCCATTTTCTTTTTGTAGAAACAATTAAAGAATGAAAAAAGAAATTCAAACAAAAACAGACATAAATATGATAGAAAATTATACAGAAAATATTTATTTTCATCTCTTTTTTTTTTAATTAGATTATAATTTAGAAGTACACCTCTAAACAATTTGGAGCCAGATGCAAATGTTTGTGCTAAAGACCGGCCTTGATCATCGCAATTTTTTCAGTAAAGAACATCAAAGAAAGGTAAAGAGATAGCGCCAAGATATTAACAGTTTACCCTCAAAGCTAAACCCTCAGAGTCAAATCCAATCTGGAAAAAGGTAGAAATGATCTCCAAGTTCCAAATGGGTCATTAATTTACCATATAACTTATAAATTTACAACGTTAAAGACTTAGGGTTAGCGGTTGAACTTTTTTTAAAAAAAAATCCTTATAGTAATGTATAAGATAAAGCACTAATTGACTGAAGGGATTAAATATTATTTTGAGGGATACACCGTGGACGAATTCTGTTTTCTCCTTTCTTTTGTTTTTGTCTTTTGGTCGCTAAATGAATAATTTATGTGGATATGTGGTCAAAATTGGCGACTAGATACTTAAATGTTATTGCCGGGTATCTTCATCCATTTTCGTCTTTGCGGCTAGCAACTGGTGGTGGTGAATAACTGAATATAGCGAAGGGCAAAAGCAACAAAACAAAATATATTAAGACCCCACCATTAAATAATTATATGTGTCGTATTCACTATCCAATCATATATTGGTATTAGTAAGTTAGTAACTATGAAAATCGGGTTTTGATTTACAACTGTTGTCGTACCATAATTCAGTTTGAAACATTGCAGCGTGCGAGTCTAATTTATAAAAAAGAACTCTAACGCAGAAAAAACAAATTTTGTAGGTTTGAAATAGTGTAACAAAACAAATGGAATAAAATACATAGATGTAAAACACAAAGAGAACGGGTTAAACCAAGATAAAGTAAACAAAAAGAAGATCAATCTAAATTAGTTTGAAACTCTTCATAACCTAGCAGGATCGTATTTGAAAAAGAAAATCTAATTAGTCAACAGTCAATCTTGACACACTGCCTACGTACACTTGCCTAAGTCCAGTGCCGGTCAAACTGAAACTACACCTTACGACCGATCTTTTAAATATTACTATTCAATACTCAAATATTTGTTTTTTTTCCTTTCGTCAAACCAAAAATCAAATCTACAAAAGTAGGCCTTTGTATAGTACTAACAAAATAAGAATGGAAAAAAATAATATAATTAGCCGCCAAATTGCAGCTCAGTTTTGAATAATCGAACTGTTCCTTTATAAATACTCACACAAACTCGAACAATTTAACAAAAACAAACTCCTTCATCAGATGTTAAAACAAAAGAAATCAGACAACTCCATCTCTCGAGACACAACTCAAATCAAGAAAATAAAAATATCCGACATGGCTCAAAATGGTTCGAACAGTACTGTGAAGCTGATAGGGACATTCGCAAGCCCATTTGCCTTGAGGGCTCAAGTCGCTCTACACCTCAAGTCCGTAGAGCACGAGTACATAGAAGAAGCCGATGTTCTGAAAGCAAAGAGCGATCTTCTTATTAAATCAAACCCAGTCCATAAGAAAGTCCCTGTTCTCATCCATGGTGATGTTTCAATCTGCGAGTCTCTCAACATCGTTCAGTACGTCGACGAAGCCTGGCCGTCCAAGCCTTCCATCCTCCCTTCTGATCCCAAAGATCGCGCCTTCGCTCGTTTTTGGGCTCACTTCGTTGACGGAAAGGTAAAAATAAATTATATTTGGGAGCTATAGAAATATAGTACTTAGTGGTGTTTTTGTCCTTTTTGGAATTTTTGAGCAAAATTAAAAATGTTAAAAATGTTTAAAGTATAGTAGTTAGTGATGTTTAAGTTACAATTAGTTGGTACTTTTGAGCAAAATTAAAAATGTTTAAAAAATATTATAAGTATAGTACTTAGTGGTGTTTATGTTCACATGTTTTAAGAAACTTCTAAAGATGTCAAAATATTGTCTTGAACTTGGAACAGTTCTTTGAGTCTATCGATGCGGTGGCTGGAGCAAAAGATGACGAGGCGAGGATGGCCGTGGCCGGGAATCTGATGGAGTGTCTAGCGGAACTTGAGGAGGCATTTCAGAAGAGCAGCAAAGGCGGAGACTTTTTCGGAGGAGAAAATATTGGGCTCGTTGACATTGCTTGTGGGGCCATAGTCGGTCCAGTCTCTGTCATTGAGGTCTTTTCAGGTGTGAAATTTCTACGTCCAGATACAACACCAGGCTTGCTCCAGTGGACTGAGAAATTCAAGGCCCATGAAGCTGTGAAACCTTACATGCCTACTGTGGCGGAGTTCATCGAGTTCGCTAAAAAGAAATTTAATGATCAGTGATGACATCTCTTGATGGTTTTGGAATGAAACAGTTTATGTGTGTTTTACCTTTTATTATATGTGCATGGAGAAAAATGTGTTGGAATCTGATTGATGTTTGCAAAATGATGGTTGTAAGGGTTAATATTTGGGAGAAATATAATAATAGTAAACAGTTTTGGTTTGCTGCCAATTCTTGGTTTTTTTTTTGTTGGGTCTAGGAACTGATGGTGAAGGATAAAATAAAAAAAAAACAGTTGAATTCCTATTTACGATAACAGATATTTTGTTACAAAATTTTAGTTTGGTTTGGTTTGAGTAGGATTTGAGTCTAGTTTGATCTTTGATGGTAGAAATACGAAAAAAAAAACAAGAATTATAATTTTTGTTGAAGAAAAAAATAGGATTATATGCTGTGATTTTATTTAAAGATGAAACTGAATCAAATAATAAACATTGATTTGGATTGAATATTAAGTCGATACAAACCAATGATTCACGATATCTTTATTAATCATGAAACTATTGTAAGATAAAACTAATTTATCTCTCTTTTAATTGTTTTTATTGCATATGTCCGAACATGAATTCACACAGGCCGTAGTCTTCTCCACATCCTTCTTCACATCTACCTTCATATCTGTTCATAACACATAACAACAATAACAAAAAATTATAATATGATGATATATAAAAATACAAACATCATCATAAGCAGTTCAACATGATTTACAAAAGATTAGAAGTTATAATAAACTTACGTGGATTTTCAACAGAAACGCAACGATGAGTAATACAACCGACTTCGCAGAAATAATTAATCTGGTCGATTTTGTTTGCTTTACTTTTAAAAACAGCTTTGTCACATTGATTTGTACATTTTCTGGCACATTTTTTTGATTGAAGTAACGTCCACGGAGTAATAAGACACAAATCAAAACATTTAATATAACATAGTGGAAACGTTGCTGGATCTGCTGCTTCAACCATAGAGTTTCCAATCGTTAATATCATCACAAAGAATACGACCATTTTTTTGTTCTCCATTTTCTTTGAGGATACAAATATTTTCTTCGTTTTTGTTTTTTGGGAGAGGATTTTGGTGGACAGCGTTTGTTAACTGTGAATGTTTTTGTTTGAGTAAAATATGGCATATTTATGCAGGGATGTGATCTTTTGTATATTAGTAAGTATTTTCATAATTAGCAACAAATTCTTCGTTGACCAAAAAAAAGCAACAAATTAATTAATCTTCAATTTTCTTGAGATATAGATATGACAAAGAAGGTAAATTTAATAGCTTCATTAGTACAGAATCTTAAATATTTTTGTGAATCAGAGTTCAATTACTCTCTCTGTTTCAAATTTGTTGTCGTTTTGGAAATATGTATCTGTAATTATTTGGATGTATCTGGATGTGTTTTGAGTTTAATACATCCAAATAATTGCAGATACATTTTTCCAAAACGAAAACTAATTTGAAACGGAAGAAGTATTTATTTTGCTTGTACACTTTGCGAATATTTAACATAAAAACATATTCTCTTTTTGTTATTTGAATGTGAATATTTATACTACTAGATGTTTTTCCAGAGTTACTTTATATAGAGACAGTAACTTTGTGTAGTAGTTATCGTTTTCATAATTAGCTACAAATCAGATGCAGCATAGTATGTAAAATGATACTCTAATGTTATGCATTCAGAGTTTCAGACCTACCACATATCAAAATTTGAGTTTATCTTAAATATTCATTTCATAAATTATTCCAAAATAGCAATATTTGCATGTTTCATCTCAAATGCAATGTGATGCCAGTTGTATTCCATGTCACATTTCCAATGTTACGAGTCATATTAATTTTCATAGATAGGAAAACACGATTTGGGAACAACAAAATCATTTTTCCAGATCTACATAGTCTCACACATATACAAAATTTATACAAAACATACAACTACAAACTTGGAGGGGGCGTGTACTAGGATTACGTCACACGCACACAAACTCACTCATGTGAGAGTCTCTTTTCTCACGCCGTTGGTCAACGGCTTTCATCCCCGACATCAACTCCATCAAAACGACCGGTGACTATACACGTCACTCTTCTCCGTTAACCGAAAAGACCGGTGACTATACACGTCATATCATGATATCAACACCAAGAGCCTAGACAAACCAAAGTATCCGACTATGATTCTCATGTCTCTCTCCACGAAGATATCGACGAAGTTATGTCTCTGTGAACAACCGGTGGAGCAACGGCGAAGTTGGAATCTGATTTATGTTTGCAAGAAATGTAATAATTCGTTTTACTAAATATAATACAGTAAAAAACAGTTTTGCTTTGCTTCCAATTCTTGAGTTTTTTTTTTGTTGGTCTACGAACTGATGGTAGAAGTATAAAAGAAATAACAGTTGAAGTCCTATATACCATAACAGAGATTTGGTTACAAAGTTTTAGTTTCGTTGGTTCGAGTAGGCTTTGAGTTCTAGTTTGATCTTGATGGTATAAATATGAAAAAGAAAAAAGAAAACAAAAAAATAATTTTTATTAAAGAAAATAGAAAGGATTGTACGCTGTGATTTCATTTATAGATGAAATTGAATAAGTAATAAACAATGATTTGAATTGAATACTGTATTAAGTTGAAACAAACCAATGATTCACACTATATATCTTAATTAATTATGAAACTATTGTAAGATAAAGCTAATTTTTTTATCTCTTTCAATTTTTTTTATTGCATATGTCTGCACATGAATTCACACAGACAGTAGTCTTCTCCACAGCCGTCTTCACATCTACCTTCATATCTGTTCAAAACACATAACAATTAACAACAATAACAAAAATTTGAAATATATTATATGATGGATATATAAAAATAAAAACATCGTCAAAAAGCAGCTCAGTATGATTTACAAAAAGAATATATAAACTTATATACACTATAGAGATTATAAGTTATAAACTTACGTGGATTTTCAACAGAAATACAACGATGAGTAATACAACCGACTTCGCAAAAAGAATTAATTTGGTCGATTTTGTTTGCTGTAGTTTCCAAAACAGCATTTTCACATTGCTTTTCACATTTTTTGGCACATTTTGTTGATTGAAGTAATGTCCACGGAGTAATAAGACACAATTCAAAACATTTAAGATAACATACTGGGTACTTTACTACATTCTTTGATTCAACCATAAAGTTTCCAATCGTTAATATCAGCACAAAAAATACGGCCACTTTTTTGTTCTCCATTTTCTTTGAGGATACAAAGATTTTCTTCGTTTTTGTTTGAGAGAAGAGGATATTATAGAGTTGGTGGTCAGCGTTTGTTGATTGTGAATGTTTGTTTGAGTACAATATGGCCTATTTATACTAGGATTGTGATCTTTTGTATATTAGTAAGCATGCATTCTCATAAATAGAAACAAATTTGTCTATAATTTTCCTGAGATATATATATGACAAGTTGGGTAAACTATCAAACTTCATTAGTTTAGAATCTTAATTATTTTGTGAATCAAGGCTCAATTATCTATTTCGCTTTGACAAATGTGACTGTTTATACTAATACATGTTTTCGTAATTATCAACAAATCAGCTGCAACATAGTATGCACAACTCCAATTTCATGCATGTAAACCTAGCATCTCTTGAGATTTGAGTTTATCTTACATATTCATTCTGTAAATTATTCCAAAATAGCAATCTTTGTATGTTTTGTTCTTAATGCAATGTGATGCCAATTGTACTATATCACCATCTATAGTTCTAACAAATACTAAAATCATATTTGTTATTTCAATGTTTATACTTATTTTCATAGATAGTATCATACTAAACACGATTTGATATCTTAATTTGTTATTCCAACATTGATACCTTACGGTTACGGGAACAACAAAATATTTTTTTTCCAGATCTGTAAGTCTCAAACATATACAAAAATTATACAAAACATACAACTACAAACTTCGAGGGGCGTGTACTAGGATTACGTCACACACACTCATGTGTGAGAAACTGAGAACCCTTCTAGTTGGGCCAGAAGGTTTACCATTCCCGACAACTTTCAACACTGACAACTGTAGGGACCACCCAAACACTTTTACATTACATCATCAAAATCTAATCTAACAATCAGCATTTCGCCACGTCATTATCCACCACACGTGTACGGCTCTTAATCCTCTTAAGCTCCAAAACAATCTCTTTAGCGTCCGGACGATCGTCTTTATCCACCGCAACGCACCGGAACGCCAGCTCAGCAAGCGCCGCGACACCACCACCGTCGTCTTCTCCCGCCGCCGCAAGCAACGGATCAACCACCTGATCGAGAAGACCCACTTGCAGCTTGGAGACAAACAAGTCAGCCAAAGCCATATCTCTCTTCTCACGCCGCTGGTCAACGGCTTTCATCCCCGTCATCAACTCCATCAAAACGACGCCGTAACTATACACGTCGCTCTTCTCCGTTAACCGGAAAGACCGGTGATAATCCGGGTCTAAATAACCGGGCGTACCTTGCGGACCGGTGCAAACGAAATCAGACGACGAAGCTGACGTGGCCGTCGTCTCCGTCAACACCAAGAGCCTAGACAAACCAAAGTCTCCGACTTTGATCCTCATATCTCTCTCAACGAAGATATTCGACGACGTGATGTCTCTGTGAACAACCGGAGGAGCAACGGCAAAGTGAAGATACTCCATAGCCAAAGCCGTCTGCAAAGCGATATCAATCCGGACTCGCCACGTCATCTTCGACTTCCGTCCGTGGAGATGATCGGCGAGAGTGCCGTTGGTGACGTAATCGTGGACGAGGAGAAGCCCTCTCGGGTCAGAGCAGTAGCCGTGGAGCTTGACGAGGTTCGGGTGGTCGATCGAAGAGAGGATCAGGATCTCGTTGCAGAAGGATTTCATCGAGAAGGCTTTGCAGTGCTCGGTGGCCGCGGCGGTTGCGCCGTGGTGGTGGTGGAGGAACTTCACGGCGAGGAGCTGGCCGTCGGTGAGCTGGCCTAGGTAAACGGAGCCGAATCCTCCGTCTCCGATTTTGCGTTTCTGGTCGAATCTGTTGGTGGCGGACTCGAGCTCCTCGAAGGTGAACACCGGAGGGAGGAGCGCGAGGGAGCGGTGGCGGCGGAGGAAGAGAGCGGCGGGATCTTCTTCGTTGACGGAGGAGGAGAAGAAACTCGCTCTCCGTGATCGGAAAATCGTTACCGCGACGGAGATCGCTAGGAGAAGGCAAGTGAGAGCGAAGATGAGAGACAAGACGGCCACGTGGTTGACTTTTTTTTGCTCTGTTTCGGATCCGGGTTGGGGAAAACAGAGGAAGTCTTGATCCGGGTGGGTCGAATTAAACCCGCAAGCACCGTTCTTGGTTTGGCAGTCTCTGCATTTGGCGAAGTAAGGGTCTTGAGACTCGTCGAATTCGACTTGGAATCCGAATCTGGTGAAGAAGTCTTGGAGGAAGCCGAGGAGGTCTCCTTGGCAGCCTTGCTCCGATAAGGATCCGTGGGTTGATTCGCATCCGTGGAGGATCCGACCCGGGTTTTTGAGGAGTTTGCAGTCGAAAGGGCATCGGCTGCAGTTTGGGAGAAGGAGAGGAGAGCAGGGACGGAGGAGAGAGAGGCGAGAGCAGGAAGAGTCGGAGATTTGGAATGGAGAACCGGTTAAGTCGATGGGATGAGAGAACCGGAGAGAGGAGCAATTGTGCCGGTTCCGGTTAGAGTCTAGGATTGGAGAGAGGAGGAGAGAAGAGGAGAGGGAGTCGTAATGGAGGAGAGAGAAGGAGAGGTTTTTGATTGAGATGGTGGCGCGTGGGGAGGAGCATTGGATCTGGAAGTTTGGGTGGCCACATCCCGGAGATGTTGAGAATGGGAATGGTGGAGAGGAGTTAAACGGAGGGCAATGGAAGGAGGAGGAGGAAGAAGAAGAAGAGCATGAAGCAGAGGAAGATTGAAGTGTGGTGAAGAGAAAGATGAGTAGAGAGAAGCACCGCTGCGAAGCAGACGGTGGTTGAGATTGAGACATGAAAAGGAGAAAGAGGAAGAGATCTGAATCTGGTGAGTGGAGTCTTCGAAGTGGACAGTGAAGTTGAAGAAGAAGAAGAAGGAGAAGAGGCACGTGAAGGTTTAGGAACTCGAAACTGAAGAGTTTCTCTCAAACTTTTTTGTATTAAATAAATACAGTTTTTAATTTTGTTTTTCGTCCCTTTCTATGGAGTGAAAGCGTTTATTCAAATGATTTTGTATATTTTTTCTTTTTTCTTTTTGCTTATTAGGGACCATGAGCTTATTCAGAAAAGTGTATGAATGAGAGTTAATAGAACGAATGGGAGTAGAGAAGCCAAAATAAAAGTCAAAAGAGACAACAGACATTGTAGACAAATGGGAAAAATAGTTCAGATTAAAGTGGATGTTTTTATTTTGTTGTCAATAGTAAAGTGGACACTTATTATATCAGTCTTTGAATTATTGCTGGAAATTATCTTAAAGGAACTCATGCTTTTTCTTTTGTCGACGTCTAAGTGAAAATCCTAACCAAAATACCAAAAATGTTCAAGAATAAACACTTATCATGAAATGGACCAAACTATGTACATCTACACTAGTCAATCAATAAGATTTGTTATTAGTGTTGTAGTGGTTTAGGTTGTTCAAACCACCTCTTTCAATATAATTGACTAGATTCTTTTCATCCCAATATTTTTTACAGTAAATTATAATTAGAATTAGAAGAGAGCTACTCTTGATTTCATTTTTAGTAATTTAGAAAAATCTTACATGAATTAAGTTTACTTATTTATCTACAAGCTACACTTTGATTCCAACTTAGCTAGCCCATCAAGCTAGTCCCATAAGTTGGCTTAATCTCGCGGGGTCCTGCTCTGAGTTGTTCACATCTTACTTATAGTTCTGTCCGTGAGACATAAAGGATTGCATCAAAATTCTATAAGGAACAAATGATACAGCCGTTGATTTGGAGCCTTCCCATTCATGATTTTTGTATTAAAGGGCAATTAATGTGATGCGATGCGACCGAATAAAGCTGACCTTTTTTGGGGTCTCTCTCTTTAATAATGTTTGTGTGATTATGTTTCTCCAATTCAATCATGAGGTATTGAGAGGTACTATTTGAAACTTTTTTTTTTTTTTGATCAACACTATTTGAAACTTTCAAATCGTAACGTTACAAAGAAATCGTACTAGTGGGCATTTATTTAAACCCATACTTAGCAAGCTTGTATTATAGATTTTGTTAGATCAATTTATTTGGGCTACTTGAGATCTTCAAACTTAGAAACCCCCAATAAACAAACGCAGAGAACATAAATAGTGGCCCAAGTCAAGCCATCACATTTATGCACTAAGCCACAGACTATTCCAAGTTAAAAAGTTTGTGAGATAGTAATATCAGATCTTAGATACACTTCTGAAGTATTTTTAAAAAAGACTCACTATAATTGGAAGATTCATTACAGTATCTATATTTTGAATTCCTTTATCAGTTCACTCTTAAGTCTTAAGCTAAGCCATTGTGGTAAATTGATTGTTTTTATAGAAGATATTCACCATTATACGAAAACCAACAATGTAGGTTTTTTTTTTTTTGAGAAAGAACCAATAATATAATTACATTATACATTAGAAAGAGTTATTTTACCATTTGCGGAAGATTTAAAATATACTTAGTAAAAAAATGAGGGTTGACTTTTGAAGGTACAACTACTATCATAAAACAAGACCAAAATGTACATTGCTGTGTAACATCTGGACCGGGTCATGGAGACTATGGATAAACAGCCTGGAAATTGCAGTTGACAGTTTCATACTACATTTGAATAAATACAATGAATATGAAATTACTAAAAAACTCGTAATCTCCTAACATATCTACGCGCAAAATTTCTTTTTATGAAATGGTCATCATATGTACTTGGAAAACAAATAACTAGAAAAAGGGTGTATAAATTGAGTAATCATACGACTATAATAATAAAAAAAACCTCACCGTGTCTTCAACGAGGAAAGAAAACAAAATGGAGTTATTCGTCAAAGGTTCCGCCGTTAGATTACGGAGCTGTCACGAAAAGTACCTCTACGCCGTTGACGACGAAAAAGCCGTCCGTCAAAGCTCAGACGGGACGTCACGTCAATCGGTATGGACGGTGGAGATGGTGCCACGCAAACCAAACTTCATCCGTCTCAAGAGCTGTTACGGCAAATATTTAACGGCGAGCGAGTCGTCGTATCTTCTCGGTATGACCGGCGAGAGAGTCATCCAAACGCCGCCGTTTCGTCAGGCGGAGCACGAGAGCCACTGGGAGCCAATCAGAGACGACTTACCGGTCAAACTCATGTCGTGGAACGGGAAATATCTGCGCGGGAACGGTGGATCTCCGCCGTGGAAAAACTCCGTCACGCACGATTCCGAGCCGTACGTAAAGAAATGGATCCTCTGGTCCGTCGAGGTCGTTGAGAATCCGGAGAAGGTTTCGTACGCGGATCGTTTTTCGTCTCCGGCTTCGAGTTTTAACTCTTCCGTCTCCGGCGAGTCGAATCACGGGTCACCGGTTAATAAACTACCGACTTACGGATCTTCCGAATCGATCGGGTCGGATCCTGGGTCGTCACCATCGGTTTCTTCTTCGACGCTCATGTTTACTCCGTCAATGTCGGGTACATTGACCCCAAAACCAGAGGTTCGTCGATTTTTTCAATTCACATTTCACACATTCTTATAGAATTAAGAATTTGATTCGGATATGATTTGTTTTTGGAACAGAGGAAAAATTCGAAGAAAATTGCGGAACATGTTTCGGAGATGGAGATTTTCCGGGAAGCGAAATCGGTGCGGTTACGAAGCAGCGCACACGAGAAATACCTAATTGCGGACGATGACGAAGAGAGAGTGATAATGGGCCGAAATGGGTCGTCGAAAGAGGCCCGATGGGGAGTTGAATTGGTACCCGGATCCGAAAAGGCGATCCGGTTAAAGAGCTGCCACGGTGGATACTTGACGGCTTCGAACGAGCGTTTGATGTTGGGAGCGACGGGGCATAAAGTGGTCCAGTCGAGGAGGATTCAAACCGGTGAACCGGCGGGAGAGTGGGAACCGGTTAGAGATGGGTCGAAGTTGAAGCTGAGGAGCAGAAACGGCGGGAATTATTTGAGAGCCAATGGGGGTGTGCCACCTTGGAGGAATTCGGTTACGCATGATATACCGAACCGGAGTGCGACGCAGAATTGGGTGGTTTGGGATGTTGATGTGATCGAGATTATGGAGCGTTCTAGTGGAACTGTTTAATCAGTGTCTCAAGATATTTTTTTCTCAAATTTTGAGTTTTTCTACGATAACTTGCTTTTATTTTTGATTAAAATAATTAATATTGATTTGAGTAAAAAAAAAGGGATGTTTGTGCCTGTGTGCATTTGTAAACAAAATTTCACTAACATTTCGTCAAATATTTTGCATTACAAGACATACTGTTTTCAATCAAAAATAGAAATATTAGCTCTGATTGGTGACATGTGGTATAAGAGTTGAGGTAGAAGAGATAATACTATTTGATGTAAATTGCAGTTAAAATCATGTGATAGCTTTGATGTGAAATTAAAAGAAAAAGACAAAAAAACAAAAAAAAAATAATAATAATTAGAAAACATGAGAAAAAGAAAATAAAAATAAGAAAAACTGCTAAATCAACCTCTAATACATCTTAATACATGCCATTTTTCATGTTGTAGAAATTTGAATTGAGTTATCTAATTTTTTAAACTAGGATTGTCACCGAAAAACATAAGAGTTATGGAGAAAGTAAGTTTTCATTAACAAAATATTTATACAAAGTATATCACCCCGCACAGTGCACCGGTCAATCCCTAGTAAGATAGTAGTATTTAGTAACCTATGTGATGAAAGGAATTAAGGTTTAAATCCTTAGAGTATCTTCAACTCATCCTTATTTTTTCCTTTTAACACTCTTTTAGTGTGAAATTCATCTCCATACCAACCTCTATAACCATCAAACTAAGGAAACACTATTTTTTCTCTCATTTATAGTGTAACTTTTTTTTCTACCTTATTTTTGATGTTGATCATTTTTATTTGCATAATGATCATTCAAATTTATTTTTTCTTATTTTAACTTAAAACAAATTAGAAATTTTTAGTTATTTTTAATTGTTTTACTATAATTAATCATAAAATATTATATCAGAAAATTACATGATTTATATTATAGAAAAAATCAAATTTATATTTTATTCATTACAAAGTAAATAATAAAAAACTCTAAAATATAGTAATACTGTTAAACCAAAATTTATAATATTTTCTATTTTCCTTTGTAATATAATGCAATTCTTAATATAATAAATATTTATTTTAATTAATATCATAAATATGAAAGTTTTATAAAGTTATATCTATCATATTTTATATTTTTAATGATGTAGTATAATTACTAATATAAGAAATTTTTAATTTAAATAATATATTAATTTATGGTTTTTTCACAAAGAATAAAATAAGTAGTTAATTTGTAAAACTTATAAATGAAAAGTTAAAAAAAAAAATCGATTTAGAATATACCATAGAATATTATTTTTTAGTGTAAAAAATAAGGAGATACATTGAAAAAGAAAACACAACATTATTATAAGGTAACAATAAAATGCTGGAAAAAATAAGGAAATACAGTGGAGATGGTCTTAAAAAAATGAATTTTCTAACCAATTTTAGTTGTTTCATAAAGATAAATGTTTTAATTTTGTGAGATACTTTTTCATATTTCATGAAATATTTATTATTCTTTTTAAATTTTTATTGATTTAAATTTATAGAAAATTATTTAATTGCAAAACTCAATATATAATTAAAAAAATAATTTTTTCTTAATAGAAGTGAAAATCTCAGAAAATTAAGTGAAAAGGATCTAATTGAGTAGTTAAATACACACCAAACCTCACATTAAACTTCAACAATTCATCTTGTGAAACAAATCTAATTATAAGCTTCGACAAGAAGGGAAGTAGTAACAACATCGTATCATCATTCAGCAATGGAGTTTTTCCAGAAAGCTAAAGCCGTTAGGATGCGTAAGGTCCAGAAGTATCTGACGGCGGAAGAGGATGAAGAGACGGTGACTCAAGACAGGAACGGTTCCGACAAGAGAGCTCGGTGGACCGTAGAGCCAGTTCGAGGCTCCTTTGAAGTGATCCGGTTGAAGAGTTGTTACGGAAGCTACCTAACCGTTTCGAACGAGCGGTTCTTGCTCGGCGCCACGGGGCATAAAGTGGTTCTGTCGAAACCAAGTCGTCTCGGCTCGTCCGTCGAGTGGGAGCCGGTGAAAGAAGGATCGAAAATGAAGCTCAAGACGAGATACGGCAACTTTCTCCGAGCCAACGGTGGACTTCCTCCGTGGCGTAACTCCGTCACGCATGACTCTCCTCACATTTCAGACTCGTTCTTGTGGGATATTGATATCGTCGAGATCTTGGCCGAAACGATGTCTCCCGCTCCAGCTCTGGTGGTAACTCCTCCGCCACATAGGAGGAGGCCGGTTAGTTCTCCGATGTCCAGAAGCTCTTCAGAAAATTCCGAGGAAGAGGTTGGTATTACTTTTCAAAATTTGCAAATTATTGCATTAGAATACAAATTTAGATACTATTTTGTAACTATATGCAAGTGTTCTAATGTGCCTGTGTGCATCTGTAAAAGAAAAAAAAATAATATTTAATATTGATTTGAGTAAAAAAAAATGGGATGTCTGCGCCTGTGTGCATTTGTAAAGAAAATTTCATCAAACATATCGTGAAAGATTTTGCATTACAAGAACTATTGTTTTCATTCAAAAATAAATCACAATACAATTGTTTTGTTTTTGTTAACCAGCAATGTGCATTATACCGGAACTGAATTCAGATGATATTGATCAATCAAACAATACTGTTTAAGAGGTCCACTATATATCATGTTATAATGGATTAGACTCAAAATCAGCTTGCCTGGCCCATAATGAGATTTTTTTTTTATTTTTTATTGGACTCTAATATATCTATAGAGTGATTAAAATTGTTTGCAGGATCTAGTTTGATGCTAAATTAAGCAAACAACGCTCGTTTTAGTTGTTTTAGTTAGTGACATTAAAACATTTGTTAGCGTAGGTATGTTTTCATTTTAATCAAATTTGTGTATGAACTTAGACAGTCTGTCCAAACCGGATTAATTGGCCATAAAACCAGTTTGTCCAGTCCGTGACAACGACACTATACGTAAATAATATGAGTAAACGTATCACAGACACGAGATAAAGGTTTGGTGTTAGATACGATCTCTTTATCATTGGGGCATGGCTTATGACTTGTGAGTTAAGCCTTAAGAAGAGTCCCACACTCGTCGTCAATCTCATCTCTTCGTTGTTGTTTCTTACGGGCAATCTTTCTTTTTGTTTTTAATTACCTTTATACTTTAATATCATGTGTGTTATAAATTCTTTTCATTTCGTAGAACTTTCACTTGGATTTCAAATTCAATTTCATCGCATGAAAATGTATATACTCGTGGCACATATAAGTTGATACTCTTTAGTCTTTCTTTTGTCTCGATTACAACTTACAAGTTACAACGGCAAAGAAGAGGAAACACACATAAAAGGATAAACATAGAATTATATTTTAGATATATAGGTATGCTGACGTGGAAATCAAAGATGTGGTGAAACACGTCAATTAAGCACGACTTTTCCGTTGCCTAGTGCCTAAATTCGTTTCATCACATGCTACTAAATAATACTTGGATTGATTTAAGATTAACGGTTGAAAAAAGTCCACGTCACCGCGCGCCGCTGTAGACTTGGTCTCCCACTAATAAATACACACCAAACATCGCATTAAACTTCAAACAATTCGTCTTGTGAAACAAATCTAATTATAAGCTTCGACAAGAAAGAAATAGTAATAACATCGTATAAGCATTCACCAATGGAGTTTTTCCAGAAAGCTAAAGCCGTTAGGATGCGTAACGTCCACGAGAAGTATCTGACGGCCGACGAGGATGAAGAGACGGTGACTCAAGACAGGAACGGTTCCGACAAGAGAACTCGGTGGACCGTCGAGCCGGTTCGTGGTTCCTTTGAAGTGATCCGGTTAAAGAGTTGTTACGGAAGCTACCTGACTGCTTCGAACGAGCGGTTCTTGCTCGGCGCCACAGGGCGTAAAGTGGTTCTGTCGAAACCGAGTCGTATGGACTCGTCCGTCGAGTGGGAGCCGGTGAAAGAAGGATCGAAAATGAAGCTCAAGACTAGATACGGCAACTTGCTCCGAGCCAACGGTGGACTTCCTCCGTGGCGTAACTCCGTCACGCATGACTCTCCTCACATTTCCGACTCGTTCTTGTGGGATGTTGACATCGTGGAGATCTTGGTCGAAACGGTGGCTCCGGCTCCAGCTCCAGCTCCGGTGGCAACTCCTCCGCCACATAGGAGGAGGCCCGTGAGTTCTCCGATTTCCAGAAGCTCTTCAGAAAGTTCCGAGGAAGAGGTTGGTATTACTTTTAAAATATGCAAATGATTGCATTAGATTACAAATCTTGATTTCTTGGATTTTTGTTCTTTGTCCAAATGATGTCAGTGTCGTGTCTAGCTGTTTTTTGCCATACTCCAAATTACGAAACTAGCCTTATAAACTTTCAAGATTGTTGTCTAAACATTTTCTTGGTTTTGTGTTGACTATAGTTGACTCAGTCGCCGCCGAAATCTGAAGGGAGGATCATACATTACCATATCGCAGACGAAGAAGGACACGTAGAGGATGAGTCAGCGGTTGGATACGCATTGACTTTTAGAGGAAACAGCGTGGAACAATTGACGCAGGCGCTGCGGGAAGAGACTAGCATGGATGATGTTGTTGTGTGTACACGCAATCCTTTAAACGGCAAGCTGTTTCCTCTTCGTTTGCAACTTCCGCCGAATAGTGGAACAATGCATGTCGTTCTAGTACCCTCAAGTACTTCTTAAATGACATGTTGTGACTTGTGTGTGTCTTGCAAGATTGAGAGATGGTGTTGACTAGAAAAGGGACACAATTGGTCATCGCTCATTAGATAAGAGTGTTAAGCATAGAATGTTTAAGATAGATTATTATTGTGGGTTCTACAATCTTTCATTTTATTGTACATACGCAGATAAGCTTATGTTGTATAAACAATTGCCCAAGTCTTCACCTACTCTCCTACTAATTTGTCCCCTTTTCCTTTCGATATTATTAAATTGTTTTTCTACTAAAGTGTTGTTATATATTAATACCGGAATCTTCACAAAACACATAATAAAGTAATTCTTACCAACCATCTCGTGCAATATTTCCCAACAATCACATATTTGAACTGTACTTGAATAAATTTCCCTCCACATATAAAGTAATTCTTATCACTCAAGGTCACTCTAAACGATGGTAGGAGTGAAACTGAACACATTTGTTTTTCTAAAACTCTAGTCTTGTGCTCGTTCAAGGCCTCAATCCCATATTGCCCACCCCTAAATAAGCTTGAGTCGAGCCAAATACAACAGTTACCAAAACTAAATAATGGTGGATATCAGCATATGTAGAGATTATAAAATAAAGGGTGTTTCATGTTTGGGGGTGAACAAGGAAGAATAAACCATACAAATCACTAGTCATAAATTTATTACACGAGACATGTACATAGCCAATCCAACTTCTAATTTGTTTTTACATCACAAACGATATGTGTTTTATTGTTTTGCTGAATCTGAGTTCAAACTGTTGATGTGCCTTGAATCTAACAATGTATGCATACTGGTTGAGTAGGCGGTGATGTGTACATGCTCTTTGATCAGTTGTGATGTTACACACTGAAGTTACTATCTGTGAATCTGCGTGATGCTACACACTTAAGTTGTAGTCTGCGTGATGATACATCCTGAAAGTTACCTAAGGCTGCAGAGAAGGCGCATATGGGTCGCACAGTGGTTAGTTAAAAATGTCTACATGGGCTTCAATGTGATGTCTACATGGGCTTCAGTGTGGAAGCCCAACTCACATACTATTAGGGTTTCTAGGTCTTTCCTGTTTCCTGTAAGTAATTTTGTTATCCTAATGTTGATGTATTCTGAAACTTTCTGCCTCCATCAATAAATCAGCCTCCTTTACCCGTGGATGTAGCCAACACATCGTTGGTGAACCACGTTAATTCTGTGTCGTGTTCTTTACTTTTACTGCTTCTTCTCGCATCCGTTATAACACAAACATTTATTTTTATATAGTGTAATAATATTCTTGGCATAAGGTGATGAGGAGCTTTGCTTGGCATACAAGTAAAACTTCATATTTTTCAGAAGAAAGATTGTGCGTATTTGTAGAGCTTCCTCTCTAACTCACCAAACTTCACACCCACAACTCTGTCTACTTCTTGGCCTCTCTTCATGAACACAATCGCAGGCAAAATATGAAGGTTGTACTCAATCCACACACCCTGTATTACAAATTTACAACCAAACACTATTTCATAACTCAAAGCAAATAAATATATTCTTGTTGAAATCTTTTCTTTAGATTTTGAGATAGAGATGAGACGAAGAAAAAAAAGAGAGGGGTTGATTTAGTGTTACCATTAACACATCGACACCAATCTTCACGAACTCCACATCGGTGTACTTAGCCGCCAACTCTTCAAGCTTTGGTTCAACGGATTTACATGGTCCGCACTCCGCACCATTTGGCCGTGAACTCGATGACCACCTATGTATAAACACGGTAATGGCATGTGCATTATGGTATTCTTAAGTGAAACATAAAAAAACCCCAAAAATGCGCTTTAATTAATATATATCCAGCTTGTTGTACGATCTCTATGGAATATTTGTGTGCTTTATTTCATAAACTGGCTTTAGTGGCCTATAATATTTGATTCGCCTTGGTGATATTTTCAATACTTTTTTTTGTTTCAAGAACTATTTATTATGCTTATGAATTTTTATTGGTTTAAATTTATACTCTCTCCTTAATACTTAATGTTTTAGAGTTTTCACATAGATTAAGAAATAATTAATGCTTAACTTTTATTCTATTACTTTCTCATTTTAAATAACTATTAACCAGTAAAAATTATAGATTTGTCTTGAAGTTTGTATTTTTGTGACATTTATTAGCAAAAAGTAACTTTAAAAGCTAAAACATCAAACAATATGGAACAAAGAAGAAAAACTTAAACATCAAATATTAAGGAACAGAGGGAGTAGAAAACTGTTTAATTGCAAAATCTATACATTTATGATTAATTTTTTTTTCTTAATAGAAGTAAAAATCTCAGAAAATTGTTATGAAGTATAAATACTTTTTCAGATTTCAAGAAATATTTATTATGCTTATGAATTTTGATTGGTTTAAATTTATAGAAAACTGTTTAATTGCAAAGTCTAAACATTTATAATTAAAAAATATTTTTTTTTTTCTTAATAGAAGTGAAAATCTCAGAAAATTAATTAAAAAGGATCTAATGGAGTAGTTAAATACACACAAACCTCACATTAAACTTCAACAATTCATCTTGTGAAACAAATCTAATTATAAGCTTCGACAAGAAGGGAAATAGTAACAACATTGTATCATCATTCAGCAATGGAGTTTTTCCAGAAAGCTAAAGCCGTTAGGATCCGTAAGGTCCACGAGAAGTATCTGACGGCGGACGAGGATGAAGAGACGGTGACTCAAGACAGGAATGGTTCCGACAAGAGAGCTCGGTGGACCGTAGAGCCAGTTCGAGGCTCCTTTAAAGTGATCCGGTTGAAGAGTTTCTACGGAAGCTACCTAACCGCTTCGAATGAGCCGTTCTTGCTCGGCGCCACGGGGCGTAAAGTGGTTCTGTCGAAACCGAGTCGACTCGACTCGTCCGTCGAGTGGGAGCCGGTGAAAGAAGGATCGAAAGTGAAGCTCAAGACTAGATACGGCAATTTTCTCCGAGCCAACAGTGGACTTCCTCCGTGGCGTAACTCCGTCACGCATGACTCTCCTCACATTTCGGACTCGTTCTTGTGGGATGTTGATATGGTTGAGATCTTGGTCCAAAAGGTGTCTCCGGCTCCAGCTCCAGCTCCGGTGGCAACTCCTCCAAGCCGAACAAGAGTATGAGTCTCTAATATAAACGATGGTAGGAGTGAAACTGAACACATTTGTTCATCTAAAACTCTTGTCTTATGCTCGTTCCCGACATCAATCCCATATTGTCCACCCCTAAATAAGCTTGGTTCGAGCCAATTACAACAGTTTGCTTAAATAATGGTGCATATGTTGAAATTATAAAATAAAGGATGTTTCATGTTTGGGGTGAACAAGAAAGAATAAACCATACAAATCATTAGTCATAGATTTATTACACGAGACAGGTACATAGCACGCAAATCCAACTTCCACTTTCTTTACATCACAAATTATATATGTTTTATTGTTTTTGCTGAATCTTAGTTCAAACATTTATTTTTATATAGTATAGTAATATTCTTGGGATAAGGTGATCATGAGGAGCTTTGCTTGGCATGCAAGTAAAAGGTTCATAATTTTCAGAAGAAGGATTGTGCGTATTTGTGGAGCTTCCTCTCTAACTCATCAAACTTCACACCCACAACTCTGTCTACTTCTTGGCCTCTTTTCATGAACACAATCGCAGGCAAAGTATGAAGGTTGTACTCAGTCCACACACCCTGTATTACAAATTTACAACCAAACACTATTTCATAATTTAAAGCAAAGAATTGTATTTTTGTTGAAATCTTTTCTTTAGATTTTGAGATAGACGATGAGACAAAGAAAAAAGAGGGATTGATTTAGGAGTGTTACCATTAACACATCAACATCAATCTTCACGAACTCCACATCGGTGTACTTAGCCGCCAACTCTTCAAGCTTTGGTTCAACGGATTTACATGGTCCGCACCATTTGGCCGTGAACTCGATGACCAGCTATGTATAAACACGGAAATTGCATGTACATTATTATATTTTAAAATAAAACATAATAACCCCAAGAAGGCGCTTTAATTAATATATTACCAGCTTGTTGGTGTCTTTGAGAGCGTGGAGCCGAGATTTCCATTGAATCTTGTTCTTGATCTCCACAATAAAGGGACTGTTGACTTTAAAAGGAGAAACCTCGGGTTCGAAACGAGGTGTCCATGGCTTCCTGGAATGGATATCAGTTACCTGAAATCTCTGGTCTGGTGAAGAAACGTTAGCACCCATTACTCTATACTATGCAGAAAGAGGCAAATTGTTTTTAAGTAGAACTGCTCTCTACGTTGAGCATAATTTGAGAGGTAGAGTTGCATTTTATAACCTCAGATATTTTTGTTGTGGACCTAGTCGCCGTAAAAGGTTACCAATTTTCACACTACAATTTCTATTAATTGGCTCCAAGTGTTATATGTCGTCCCCCAAAATTATTCCATGAAGTATGCAAAACCCACTTTAAGAATTAGTTCTTGAAGACTCCAAAATGGTGATTGGAATTTCTAAAGGCGCTTTCCAGTTTTGCGAATCCATTTATATTGTTGCTGACCTGCCTGTATTAAAATACTGAATAAGTCCGGAACTGTCAAATGTGTTTTATTTTTCTGATACAAGTTTGTAAAATATGTTGAATTAGATTATTTGTTTGCAGTCTTGTATATAATTAAAAGTTTATATCTATACTAAAAAAACTTAACTATTATGCAACCACAAAACTGAATTCAACGTGATACTAATACAAGGCAAGTTTGAGTTGTGATAACGCGACATATGAATGAGAGTTTCCCTCAAGTAGTTTTTTTTTTTTTTCAAGTGTGGCTTACTTTTTTTTTATGCTCGTAAGGGAGAAAAAAGGGAGGCAGCAGAAGTATTAGACTTTTGTTGTTGTTGTTGTTTATTACGGCTGTGAACTTGTGACAAGAAAGATTCCAAATCTCTACAATGTATGATTCCCCTTCTTGGCAGTATTGTTTTTGGAAGAAAGTCCCTTTTGGATCTTCTAGATATTTGTAAAAGGTTAAAAGCGCACTAATATAATTATTGAGTGATTATGCTAAACGGAAATCAATGTAGGTGAAATGAATGATGGAATATACTGTATGTAGCAAAAAGGCAGACACAAAATAAACATAATGGATTCTTTGCTTAAATCAAATGGATTTTGGATTTGACATTCTAGAACTTTAACATTAACAATAATATTAGTAATTATTCCCTCCGTTAATTTCCAGTGTAATCCGCATACTAATAAAATTATCAAATTGTATCATAATCGATTAGCAGTGTTCCTTTGTGAATAGTCTCAAATCATAGAAACAAGTCAACTGTTGTGTTTATGTATTCTCTTGCCCCAAATTTAGCTTCATGATTTTAAATTGCCATTTAATTGTTAGGGTTATTTTGTACGATACCAGCTAAACCAAATTGTAAGTTTTAAATACTTCTGCATATATAACAAGAAAGGTAGAATTTTATTATATAATCTAGTACTTCTTATATATTATAATAGATACAAGTACTATTTCATAATAATATTACTATATATAAAAACAACATCGATCGGTTATCTTCTTGTCGTTGCTCCTAACGAGACTTCCAAAATCACTTAAGCTGTTTTTTGGAACTCATCTCAACATCAGAGAAACTCTTGTTGTCCTCCTCCTCAAAACCTCCCATAGGTGAACCGGACTTGTACCGGTATCCTCGTGCACAATACCAAAAGTAAACCAGATTAAACACACCCATAACCGCAATCAGATAATAGAAGTAATCCAATTTTCCCGCGTTGAGATCCTTGTTGAGCCAATCAGGACGGTTACGGCCACCGGAGAACTTATGAACGATGGTAACTATAAAACTGCTGAGGTAGTTCGAACCGGCGAATGATAGAGAGAAGAGAGCATTAGCGATGCTTCGCATGTGCTCCGGAAACTGACTGTTGAAAAACTCGATCTGTCCGATGATATTGAACGCTTCGCATAGTCCCATCAGAATCAGCTGCGGTGAGAGCCAGAACACTGACATCGGAGTCATCCCTGTCGGATCTCCGGCGGCGATGGAGCGTCTGCGTCTAACGCGCTCCACAAGACCAGCTACGATCATAGAAAGGATAGCGAAAACGATCCCTGTCCCGATTCTTTGGAGGAGTGTGATACCGGACTTATGGCCGGTGATTCTACGGAAGAATGGGACGAAAACACGGTCGTATAAGGGAAGAAAGACGCCGATGGTGAGGAGAGATATGACGGAGAGAGAACCAGGCGGAATCTCGAATTTAGGTCCCATGTGTCGATCCATTTTCAAAGCTTGAGAGACGGTGAATGTTCCTTGTTGTGACATTGCCGCGAGTGCGATTATTCCGGCCGACCATACAGGAACAACGCGGACCAAACACTTCACTTCTTCCACTTCTTGGATGCTGCATAACCGCCACTTGTTCGCCGGGACTCCGTCAGATGTTAGATCGCCGTCTATGATCACCGCCGCTTTGTCTAGAAACCTATTTTATACATTTCCAATACCAAATTCTTAGTTGCCTTAACTGGCAAGAAACCCTAAACCCTAATTGCTAAAATCAAGTAATAGCTAAAGAATATACCTGAATTGGTTACAATGGTGTAACTTGGATAACACGCTAGCTTTAACCGGAGGGTCATAGTAGGTCACAGAGCCGTCATCTTCTGCCGGGACCTTTAGCTTTCGCTTCTTACGAGCTGCCACAACAACTTGAGCGATCCCGGAGAAGATACTACCTTCAGGTTTAACGCAGACGTAAAGCTTCATTCCGGCGAAAAAGGCAACCACAGCACAAGCCATGAGCCCGGTAGGGACACCAAAGCCGATGATCCAGCTGACTTGGTCTTGGATATACACAACCACGGTCTGTGTAATGAGCAGAACCACAGTGAAAGTCATGTAATACCAGTTGAAGAAACTAGCAACTCCTTTAACCCCTTCCTCGGTTCGTTGGTTAAACTGGTCAACTCCAAAAGGGATGCTACATGGTCGTATTCCTCCACTTCCTATGGAGAGGAAACCGAGACCTAATAGCAAAATTCCCATGTGAAGCTTGGTCGGACCGGCGCAATTTATTGGGTTGTTGTTGTTGCCGCATGATGCTGGGTGGAGTTGAGGAAGCGATGCTGTGAGTGTCAATGTTATTAGGCCCTGCAAAATTTAAATGATTGATTAGACATTATTCATCATTCGAAACAATTTTTTTCATTAGTTATGATGATTAACTATGGCGTGAAATTCAATTGAATAGTTGTTACTTGTTAGTTAATCTTGAAAATGCAAACAACACTGTGCCATAGATTGAAGTTATGCGATCAAATACAAACAAACAGTTAATTGTTAACAACTGTGCAATAGGTTTGACTTCATATATGGTTAGAAGTAATACTACTTTTAATAGGTACTTGGAATGACAAACAATATTGTCGGATATATTGAAAAGTTATGAGATTATATACAAACAAAGAGTTAGTTAAGTTAACATTAGTCTTTATTAGGTTTGACTTCAAATGATTAAAAGGTGAGATTACTTTTATCAGGTACAAGTTTGGTGACAAACTGATAATGATGTAGAACCTAAAGTTTTTGTTGTAACCCTAATCTAGTAATATGAGTAGGTAATTTTTACTAAAAAAAAATGTAAGGGAAGTTAACACGTGAATTGCAAGGATGCGACAAATAATTACGTCACTTTGATCATAACTCTATAATAATGAATGAAAGAGACACTAGAAAAGCAACTTTCACTAAATAATATACGTTACGTTACGTCACTGTGATTGACCAAATCTACACCTCTCATAGTTAGCTATATCATATAGAATTTCAATTATTGGACACACTCATTATCAATATCAATAATCCACATCGACCACTTGTATATGTTTTCCTTTTCTACGCACTTACATTTATCTCCAAAATAGCACTTCTTTCTATTACGGAACTTCTTTAATGGAAAATGTATCACCACTTAATCAAAGTTGTTTCTGTGAGATAAACAAGATTAGTTCTCTAACAGAAAAGGTTGGGTGATATATAAAGTGAGCCTAAGTTAAGTACCGACAACAATTTGTGTACTACCGAATGACTTTAGTTTATATGATTCGCATTGCAGACCGACCTTATCGTCCTTGAATGCGTGGTCCCTCTAAAATTTTATGCGTTTTCGTTCCATACAAAACCAATAAATAGGTGCAAAATATTTCTCACAAAGATTTTTTTTTTGGCTAAAATTTATTACATTGGTATTATAATTTGTGGCGAAATATATTATAAAGTTTGTCCTAACATGTTACCTTATCATGTCCACGTGCGCGACGAAATTATATGCCAAGTATCATGTATCTTCGCCACACAACAAAATAAAATAAAGTAAAAATATAACTTTCTACCTAGAGAGAGTCAAGTAGGTTTCTTTTTGAGAAAGGGTTTTCTATGGGAGTTAGTATGTTTTTTTTTTTAACAAAGCTTTAGGAGTTGATAACTTTATTAGGAGGCAATAAAGTTACTATTAAGAGCAATAATAATACGTAAGTGTGTATATGTAGACACAATAGAGATTAGCATTTCCATAAATTGAAGAGATGAGTTACTAATACGTACGAAGAGGGTGGCGAAGGAGGCGAAAGCGATGGTCTTGAAGCGGCCGACGTAAGCGTCTGAGATGAACGCGCCGACGAGAGGAGTGAGGTTGGTGAAACCAGACCAGATGTTGATGACATTGGAAGCATCGACTTGTTCTAAGTGGAACACTCTTGTTAGATACACCATGAAGTTTGACAATAACCCAATCGTTCCCAGTCGCTCCAACGTTTCGTTAGCTGTTTCAACCCATATCATTTCATTAATTATTATTTTTTTATTAAAAACATAGAGAACCGAACAAATGGAAAAATATGATAAAGAGTTTTCTTTCCGTTTCAATTATGAAGTAGTAAAATGGACTAGTGTATCATGTTGGATCGACGGTTACGAGAATATAATATGATATAGTTCTTCCATTAAGAAAAACCCAAAAATTGATGTATATTATATTACTCTGCAACGGTTATGTGGAAAGTGGTCTTGAAATGGCCAATTATATATGTCGAGGATAATATACACAGTAAACTGATTTCTAGAACTATATATTCAGTTGTGGAGATTAATTACTAAGATATTGTCGAAAGTCAAGGATTAGGTTAACTGAAAATAAATTACGTTCCCGAACCAAAAAAAAGAAATAAAGATATACCTAAAATGAACGAGATGGCTTTCCATCCTCCATGCTTTTTATCTACCTTCTCGGCCTCCAAGATAGAATCCGGCGAACTTTTCCGATTGTGCATATCAAGAACATCCATCTCCGGCGGTGGTGGTGACGATTTGGAGAAACTACCGGGCGGTCCTGGCAAAGAAGAAGTATCTTTTCTTTCCTTCAAATCCATCTCTAAGATTCTACAACACTCGGATATTCTTGCTGCAAATTTAGGGTGGAATTAATGTTGCAAGATTCGATTCTCACTTTTCCTTTTTGCAGTTTATAAAGAAATCAAGGTAACCACATGAAATGATTGATAAATGTAGAGAGTGGGCACATAACACACACACTTTCTCTCTATTAGAAGCTTTTTTGGGGTATAATGTGGAACTGTGGGTACATATGTATATATAAAGGAGTGAGTAGATATTAAATGGTGCGTGTGGGTCTGGGTGAATTTGATTGACGTTCGCCACTAGTATAGCCTCCACGTGAGAAGTTGGAAGCTGAAAAAGAAAACTATTTTAGTGCTACATTTTTTTTATCTTTTTTCTTTCTTACATCGTATGGTACGTACTATAATTGTTCCACGTATAGTGAATCTTCTATGGTTCTTACATTTGTTACCGTACAATTCAATGTTGAATTAATGAACCATGTTATAAACACATTGTAAGAGTTTGGTGGGAGTATAATATATGTTTTCTTTTTGTTTGAATATAACTTGAAATTCAATTAAAAAAAAATATATATATATGTTTTCACGCATTTTATATATGGTGTGTCCACCATCTATGGCATGATGGGTGTGAATATGACATCTTATTTTCACTTCAAAATAATATGATCTATATGATTTTCTAATATTACTAAAACAATGTATTGATCATTAAAATTCATCCATTTGTATTTTTAAAAAGTTTACTAATTAAAAAAATGAAAGCAAAATAGCTCTTATATTTTTACCAATGAAGTAACTTAAATTAAATAAACGGTTTGGAACCTACAAATGTAAAATAACAAAACGCATGACATGGTTCCTATCATTGTAAGCCAAACAAAAATGATTTAAGCATAATTTTCGAGGAAGAAAAGACAAAGAGAACCAAAAATGTTTTTTTACTCTCCGGAACTCATCCCAATACGTGGAGAAAGCAGACAAATCTAAAACCATATGCTATTATCTTCACCTGTTTTAGCTAGTCAAAAATTTATAATACTCAACCATGCATATGCCATGGTCCAAACTAAGGTCTCTAACTCAGAGTAAAGAAGAGAGACTTCTTTAAGAAAAAAAAGACCCTTGGCATCTATAAGGGAAAACGTCTTACATCTTGAAAAATTTCGAACATAATCTGGTGAACATATGGCATTTGAGCACATTCGGTCGAATAGGAAAATCTATCTCCTTTGAAATTTATTTCTGTTTTAGATAACATGAAATTATGAACATAATGATAGACACACAAATTGTTGAATGGCAATTGGCAAGTATAATATGGTTGATTTGCCTTACTTCTCATTCTGCTTCGGCCGCTTGTACGTAAGTGTCTATTCAGAGCCATAATCTCTCGCTTTTTTTAGTCAACATATTCATCAATCATGGCAAGTCTTCGTTACATCATATAATATATTCATAATTCGTTTAGTACTTTAGTTTAATTATTATCTTACAACTAATTATATTTTACTTATATATAATTTCATTTATTATTAAAAACGTGATGTCTAAAAGAACTCACTTATGAGCATACCATAATTATTGGACTTCCTAAAGAAAATAATTTAGTGGACTCCAGTGAGAAACACAAGTTTGATTTATTTATATCAGAATTGAACTTGAATGTTTATAGTTTGGATAACTTGTTGCAGTGCATTACGTTGATAGACAACCAACTATTCTTACTAAAGAATTTAATCTATAAAAAAACATGCAAATTCTTCTGTATGATAAAAAGTAAAACAGAAATATTGAAATAGTTTTTTTATTTAAAAATCATCAACTCTTCCACATATATATTTACTATTTCAATTTGTTGGGAAGCTTTATGTATATGAAAACACCCGAGATTAAGTTATGAAATTAATTTTGTACAGTTGAAACAATTCAGTCTAAACCATATACATATTGTTAAAAGTTATTAAAAAAATATCTGAAATTTGATATAAGAGATAGCGAAGGATTTATATACCAAGCTTGTAAAACTCAAATTGGGCACAAACATGAAATCAGTGAGTCGAGACAGAAACAGATAGAGAAATACGAAAAGATGAGGTATGCTTTTATCGCCTTTTAGGCAAATGCAAGTGCCTAACACTGTCGCATGCGCGAGTCATAAGATTTCTACGCAAGCCCGCTTGTCGTTTCTCAATTATAACATTTTTTTGTTTTCAACCTTTTAAGTGGGTCCGTGCCATTATCACCGTTCGATCATGTGGTCAAATTTCTCCACTGTTCGCCATCATCCATGGCAAATGAATTGAACCGTGGCCGCGTAAGGTTTGGACCGCTTTTAATAACCTGTCTCAATAGGCCGACTGATCCAAAGACTTAGCTGTGTTTGTGTGGTGCGGGTCACAATCGAATAGCGAAAAATGTATATAGAGGTCGATAGATAACTCCAACTCCTAGAAAGGTCGTTGTTTTTTTCTATTTTGTATTTGATATGATCATATCTACTGACTTTATTTGGTCGGAGTGAGAGATATTTGATATGATATTTTCCTTTAAAGTATACCAAAATTATTAATAAAGCATGTTAAATGTGGGAATACATTTTTGGCTGTGTTGGAAGAGACATAATTAATTATATGAATATCTGCAATATGCTGTATGAAAATATTCGAAAACTGCATATATATCATTTTTAGTGTTACTTGTTATTAAGGTTAACTTAGATTTATGTTCTGATTATTGGACTGATACTATATATACATATATACAGGGATTTGTTTGACTTTTAGAGTATCTATTTGGTTAAGAGGTCAATTAATTCTGGTATAGAAAAAGATAAACCGAATCTGTGGATTTTGATGTTGATTTTGATGTAATAGTCGGAATAGGTTAACATTTTTTATTTTTGTTGCTTCTTCTATACTTTCTGTTACAAATGTTTTTTTGGAGTTTTTCCTCATAACATTATTTTGTGTTATTAACTATTTTCTATAATATTTAACCAATAGCAATTCAGTAATTTCAATCAGTTTTTTTTTTTTTTTTTTTTTTTTTTAAGTTTACAATTCATCATTATTAACTTATACTCCCTCCGTTTCTTTTTACTTGTCGTTCTAAGAGATTTCACGCAGATTAATAAAACAGATTAAAAATTCTATTATACCTTTAAAAGGCAAATTGACTATTAGTATTATTCAGTAGATCAAGGGTTAAACTAGGTATTTAATATTAAATTTTGCATTGGAAAGTGAGAACGACAACTATTTTGAATAAAAAAAATAAGGATAGAATGACAAGTATTTTGAAACGGAGGGAGTAATACATTGGAAACAGAAAACATTTATTTTTATGAAACAATTTTTATGGTGTTTAGTTTCAGTTTCATTCTGTAACTAATACTCCAAGATTGAATCGATTATGATAATTAAGTTCAAAACATATCTACTCTAGGTTTTCTCAAACCGTAAGATTATATTAAAAAAAAAAAATACTTTTCAATTCATTTAGGTTAGTCACGTTGCCAAATAACAGATTCTGAGTTAACCTTAATAAAACAAAAATAAGAAAAATAGAGTTGAAGATTCTAAGAAACGGAGAATATTCTGTTGTTTTCGGAAGCCAGAGCTACAAGCCTTCATTGACTTGTATTCTGTTCAAGTGTGTACAAGAGTATGATAAGGATCGGTGGTCCATCGTAATTGTATTCCCATTTGGAATCGTATTATTATTGTCAAATTACATTAATTACAATGATCACATCATATTTATTACAAAATGACATTTTCCTTCTTTGTTGAACTGTTACTCGTTGAATGCTATAAATGGTAAACAACTTAGAGTAAATGGGTGGATAAAAAAGTAAAAGAAATTTAACAATAACCCACTAAAATTAGCTATATATTTCCCACCTCTTTTATTTGGTGGGAAGATTTCAGCTGGAAAAAAAATAAAACACTTAATTACAAAAAAACTTTTACTCCAGTTTACTCTTAACTAGTATACCATTTAGAGCCGAAATCAACTAAACGCGTTGTAAAAAAATAATGGCCACTGTTTATTTTTTTGTTTTTTTGTTCGTGGGGTCTTTGGTGCTGATATTTATTCAAAAGAGCTGCTGGCAAGAGACATGTGACTTCTGAGAAAGCATTTTTCCCCTTCTCTTCTAACTAACCGATGTTAATAATTTGTAAACTAATTCAAAAGTTTGTTGTAACTTACAAGTACTTTGTTACTTCTATGATTTATGTAGACTTTATGTTATTAGTAATCGATGAAGAAAACATAGAAACACGCGAACTGTAGTGAAGGTACGTAACAACACATATAGGGTTACTGTATGCCCACCAAGTTTTGAATATTCCACTATCTTTTGTTTCTGTCAAAACCCAAATTATTGATGAAGTAGTGGTTTTCGTTTTTATTTATATGAATGGACAGCTAATTTACATCATCCAAAGTCAAATTTTAAATGATAAGATATATGAAAATTAGAGTAGCTAGTTTTAGCAAAAATAAAATAAAATTAGACTAGCTAGTCTATACTTATCCTACTAGACGTATCCTTGAACTGAGGTTGCGATTAATAATGCAAAAAAGTAGTGAACAAAATCATTTAAAAAAAAATATAAACAGAAAATAGAAAGATATTTGAACTTTTAAATAATGGGCCAGAGAAACTTTCACGTTTCATTGCACATCGAAATTGTAGTATGGTACCTTTAGAACAAAAGTTTAAAATTTAGTATTTGAACGTATTTCGTCAAAAAAAGTATATGATTTTTTTTTTTTGGAATAAGAAAGTTTATTAAAAAAAACTAATTTTTTTATCAAGTCTTCCTAAAATTTTGGAAGACTTTCTAAATATTTTGTGGTTCTCTTCGAACAAAAGAAAAAAGAGTGGTCATGTTAAAAATAAACTTTTAAAAACATAATATTTTTCATTTTATATTAACATATTCTAAAAATAAATCATTAATTTTCATAGTCTTGAATTTTTTTACATATAAGATCTC